TAATGTTTAAAATACAGAAATCGTACACGAAAATATTCAAATAACATAACTCATGTCTAGCTTATAAAATTATACAAAAATGCGATGACGCACCGTTTCAGCACGACGTAGCAAATTTAACACGAATTTGTGTGTTAGCTACGGTTACTGCCTTTTTCAATACGCTCAGTTACAACTTGAAAACTTCAGTAAAATATTCATTTTTTTTTATTGTTCCGGATCCGACATACCAATGCACCACCCCGTAATCATCCTTAACATAAATTCAAATAAATATCTCTACACCGGCAGTTAAGTACTGGGCGTCGTTAATACAAGCCATTATCAACGTAGCCATCCTTTTGTTCCTGACAATTGTAAACTTCGGTAATATTTGGTGTTGAATGGTATTAAACATGCTTAAAGATCGCGAGTTTAACATTCTTTTACCCTTACGAACTTCTCACGAGTAAACACAGTTAAAGGCATAGCGATATTGCGTAAGTAAAGGTGACACATATTAACGACCTTCTAAGTTGATTTTATGGAGTCATTCGAATCCTACTCTACGTGTTGAATCATCATTAAGTTTGTTTTACCGCGAATTTTGCCTTCAACAACAAATCGACGTTGATCTTCTGGCTGCTACTGTATATTTAAGTGATGTACACGTGGGCTATCATTGTTTTCAATTGTTTGAAAAGGCGGAAGCAAACTGGTTAAATAGATAAACTTGTGGTGGGCAAATGTGAACTTTCAATTCTGAGTCCAAGCCTTGTGTATGCGGTTTCACCTATCCTATGGCAATATGTTTAATATATTTGGCAGTTGTGATAAATGTAAAAACACCAAGTTATGTGAACATTGAGCGTTTAAAATGTAATCTACATTGCTTGATCAACACGAGTATACAGATTTTGCGAAGCAGAGCGGGATAAATGAAAGCATAATTATATAGTTGAAGAGGGCTTAACAAAACTTTACAAATTTTTGTGGGCAAACATTGACCTCCAAATGTGTACTTTTGGATTGTTTCTTCAGCGCTAATACAATAAGCCAAAAGATATTCGCGTCTGATAGTCTGGCCTCGATTGTTGATCCAATGTTAGCACAATAATCATTTCTATATTGTGGCTTATTAAACCTTAATACATTATGTAAAAACGGTATACGTAGAGCGGCTTTATCTGGACATTTGTGATGTATGAGTGGCACACTTTGTATTAGCTCCAAGCGACGCTTTTATAATCTATGTTTGTATATATCTGTTTGAAACTGTAGTATAATTTACATTTTTGATAGATGAATATAGGCAGGTAGCCGTGTCGTCTAGGTAAACGAGAGAATTGAGGTAAACTATAAAAACGAAAAACGCGACAAGTTTGTCTCTCGTTATTCGCCCGGTGTATGGCTGGGTTAGAACATATTGCTTTATCACCCGAATAGGGAGGGTCTTTCAATATTAGTCGAGAGTAATAACGGAAAATAGCATTAATTTAACACAGATTACAGATTATGAAAAAGGAAAGATCAAAATATTAAACACGAGAATAATGATGTGTTAATTAAGATATATATATTATTGTTTATTTATGATAGTCTTCTTCGGGCAATTTAGTTGAAATCAGAGAAAAGTAAGGAAAAGAATGAATAATCAGAATTAATATATTATTATGTGTACTATTTGAATAAAAACTAGACGATATCTATCTAATTAGAAAAGGTAGACTGTAATTAATAATTTGAATCTTCCACGAAATTCTGAAAATAAACAGCGACGCTATATGTTGTTCGATGATTTTTAAACTTTAGGTTGTTGAACTAGTTTTAATGCAAAACCACGTAAATAAGTGAGGATCGTAACCGAAAATGATAATATCTTTGTGGTTAACGGTACGCCAATGTGTCAACCTCTTGTACATACCATAAATTACATTTTTATAACAATCATGACACTATTATGTTGACGAAGATAAACTTACTGTATAAAAAATTGACTTTAAATAATAATGAACACCGTTTTTGATTTATATCATTGTTTTCCGTAGGTATTTGATACTTGGCAAGATGGTGAAGTATATTTCGTAACACGCGTTATAAACCAGAGATAATACTGGTTTTATTGCTTAAGTTATATTATGTAATTGTCTAATGATGTTAAATTGTGGGAATATTGTCACCACCTACAAAACGTAGGAACGTAGGAATTTAATCAAAATAATTTATCACACAAAAAGATAAAATACTATAATTCAGAAAGTATCAAAAAATACCGAAATTTGCCCAAAGGCATTGATGATTTATTGGGGCTAGGTGGTGTCCCGATCGCTCAGACTTATGACACGAATGACGATAAGATCGAATTGTTTTAATACAAGCCACACGTACGTAATTGCATAAGTCGATGAAGCGTGCTTGGTATAGTAAATAATTTTTAAGTAATCGATATTTTTATTGTTGTCCGGCGGCGATTTTAATCAGTGTTTACAGCGTAATTTGGAACTGCCGATCGAGTTGAAGTTTCGTGCTACTGCTATACATAAGAAAATAATTAATTTTTAATTAAGCTGTATGTTGTGCAACAGGACGGGAGAAATGTATTGGACAAAAAATTAAATTTCAATGTGGATTACGATCTAGCCAGATGATAAGATTTATGTGCGTTAACCAGAAGTGGATAGAGTATCGATTTATAACCGCATTGAGCAGATAATTTTCACCTATATTTAAACGTACTTTGCGAGACGTGGTTTTAATGAAGGGTTACTACGATTTGTTATTCAGCTAAGACTTCCAGCTACCCAATTCATCGCTAGATACAGTTTGTAAAAGTATGAGGATACTGACATTACGTTATCATTCCCAGAATATGTTTTACTTCATTTCGTATAGCGGACAATTCGTTTCTTTTAAATATTATTTCAGCAAATCCGAAAGTTCCCAAATGATTCACATTATCGTGGCCTGTGCGGTCAAATTATAGAACCTCAGCGTGTGAATTATAAGGTAATCTTGATACTTGGAAGAAAGTTACAATGCTCCCACACAGAAGGCATGAATTAAAGTCAAATAAAGTAGTGTAATTGTCCAATTGTTACCAAATAGGATTTATAATTTTGTAGCTTATAATTTTAAAGCAATAATTGTAGGTTCACGCAAATCAGACCGGGTTAGGTTGTGCAACGTTGGGCCGCCATGTGGGAAAGTTTATAATAAATAGTGAAATAGTTTGAGCGTATCTGAAGCTTATATTTAAACAAATGGTAACCAAGAATTCACGGCACAGGCATCTTTGCGAAACAAAGCTCAAAAATGCCTTTGTGACGAGGCTACGAAGCATGAAATCGCCGTGTATAATTTCTTGCGACTCGAGTGGCAGTGTCCAGTTTCCCCGAGAGAGTTTACGAAATTAAGCCCAAGTAATGCAAAGAGGAGTCAAATTTCGTGATCCTAAACAAGTCTTAGATTACAACGGTCGAGACAAGTCGCAATAAGTGTCCCACATTTTCTGACGTCCAGTAAAATTGATTTTAAACACCAGCCACAAAATGCAAATAGCCCATAGAGGCCTAACAGAAGGCAGTTATTTCAGATCAAAGCGAATACCGTACATACAAAAAACAGAATTTAGTATTCTGTTAGTAAGAGTTACAATGTTCCTCATTGATGCCTTTCACTCTTCCATTTCTCCACAGGGATTCGAACTAGCATTGTAACGCATTCTCCGCAAAACTAAATTGGAAGAAGCCGTATGTCAGGCGTTTAAAATGTGCATTTTTAATGAAGAGCGTAAAATAACAGTATCGATTTGTGAAATCACGACATATTGTGTTGTGTTAATGGTACGATAATGAATCAAATCTAAATTTAATATTCCCCCTCTTGTGCGATATTGAATAAACACATGTTTTGATAGCTGCGCATTTGATGGCATCTCAGAAAGGGATGGGCTTAGAGTCTGATGGTCAAATATGTGGTGCGGCAGCTCGTTGCTTTTCAATTCTATAATATTGAATCATAATTGACATTATTGTTTTGGGCCAAATTCCAAAGACTTGCTTATCCTGTATTTTATTGTACACCAGGCTGCGGCTTAATGCATTGATTTCGCCTAAGGCAAGCTCCGGTGACACGATCGACATTAGGATTAAGCGATGAATGAAAGCTAATGTGCCCACAATGATATACGCAGTCAGAAAATATTCACTCATTTTTCTGACTACAGGTCAACTAAGCGCGTGGCTTAGCTAAAATTCATGGAATGCGGAAAATCAGTGTTTGGAAATTGGATTTAGAGATTGTGATTATTGTTAGATTGCGGAGAATCATTTTGGAATAATGAAATAGGCAAAGCGTTCGCCGAAAATAGGAACATGGTTTTCAAATAATAGCATTACGTCAGGCGACAGGATGGCCATTTTAAGCTATCGTTCACGTACATACGCAAAATTGAAAAAAAAAATTTAAGACAGCACATTTCAACACTTCCATCATGGCTCATATTTTCCAAAATGAAATTGTTGCCTGTATATATAAAATTATTCAATATAAACACGTATTCATAATTCTATGGTTGCTATATCCATACCAAACGTAGGATTCCAAGATCAAACTGATTATTGTTATCCGTTGATAGAGTCTAATATTGACCTATTGTTGTAAATCGTGCTTAGTTTGTATTGTGTCTTGTCAAGATGGCGTCGCGTAGACCAGTTCCCAATCTTTACTATTATTATTTTCAAGACTAATAGACTGAGAGTTGAATATTGAGGAAGAAGAGAGTAAATGGTTGATATAGATAAGATAGCGATGAAATGGCCTAATTTTATTGGCAAATCATCATGGTACTGAACTCAGAGATTATTAGCAGAAAAGGCGTGTTAGAAAAAACGGTTTAAATTTTATTTAGATATTTTCGCATAATTTTCATTACGTTTTTAAATGAATTTATGTATTGGTTTATTTATGTTTTTTTGCAACTCAATTTGCCACATTCAATTTGTTTTTTATATTTAACACAGAAATAACGTAAGCGCTATTAGACTACGGCGAAGGCTTGCCGACGACTTTGAGTTAGACGTAATCGAATTAAGTGAGCCACAAGAAACCGAACCCATGTTGCAACATGACGTAATTAATGGTGATGTCACTCGCCACGTGACTCACGGAAATATCGGACTCTATACTGTTCAGAATACGATTGGAAACGGTCACCCAATGATGATGCATCGTCATAATGGAATTTCAGGAGAAAATGCCTTGTCATGTGACTTCCATGGTGAGTTTGAAATCTATACGCGTAGACGTATAGCATTGTTATTTATTTATTCATTGAATACCGCGCATAATTATAAACCAACGCCCTATTTCAATACCAATACTAAGAATAAATTAACCTTGGCTCGGTCTAAATTGAATTTTCACTGAACGACTATATTGCTTCCTCCATTTTGAAGTCAATATACAACTCACTCAAATGGGAAGTTATACATTCGAATTTTCTACGACGACATATGACTCAAAGAAAATTATTCCGAATTTCTTAATAAATGAGCGGAAGGTTTTTATACTAATCGGGAAGGGATTGAAGCCAATTACAGGGCGATGCTTCCAAAAATATATATTAATAAGCCTTTCATGTGGTGAGATTTACAAATTAAACCGCTAATCATATTTAACAAGCTCAGGAATGTACGTCATTGGCCGAGGCTCGGAAAATCAAATAGTTTTGAACTCACAATTTTGATAATGTCACTTAAAGTTTTTATAGTATAGCTTTTTAAGTTTGTTTCTCACGTCCATTCTATATTAATTGGGTTTCATATAATTGCTGTGAGGAGTTGTTTCTGAGATTTCGGACTTTTTTCAAATGAAATGTATATAAAAAAAATATTTCTTTATACTTTATTTTTGGAGTATGTCTGACTTTGCTGAAAATTTGACTAGTCAAGCGAACTGTATTTTTTACAATTGTTCCAACACAGCGTTATTATAATGACTAGAAAAAGTGATGGCTCAGACAATTTCTATGTTATATTTACATAAAAATTATCACCGATTTAACCGCTGACAAATGGGATCGCACCACACTGTCTTGTTTGCATTGTGTCATTTGTTGGGCTCAATAGAACCTCTTTCGACCACTTAGGATCAGTAAAAGCAATAAATACACTGAATATATTAAGATTTATACCCCTCTTCAAAGCAGTTTTATTATTTACGCTTTGATACGCTTCTTTGATTTAAAATCCATTAGATTTATATCTATTCTAGCATTTTATCTACAAAATCACCGTGCCTGAATGAAATAAAAAACTCACATAATCAAGTTTCTAATAGACCAATAACCATTACAATTGTTGGTCCTAAAATGAAGATAGTTAATGAGATTACTGTTCACGAAATATGAATATGTTGAAATTATTGAGTTTCGCAATGTACATTTGATACATATAATTTAATACCAAAATTGTCAGCACCCAGCAGTAATACAAATGTTACGATTTTGGATTACATATCTATCTAATATAGTCTTGTTAAATTTCAGATGAGGCTGCTTCAAAGACGTATTTCACTAAGGGAAATGGTGAACGACAAAGTGCTGAAGTCGACGATGGAGTCATCAGTAACGACGGGGACTACGATAATCACCGACAGAGTAAGAATCGTTTACATATTTTATGAAAGTTTGGTATGAACGAAACTGTAATAATTTACAAAAAAAAATGTTTATCCGTGCGATAGCAGTATTTGATAAGCGATTTAAAACAAGCCAATTCTGCACGCCCGGGACTATGTCCTCGATCAGAAAGCGGAAGCTTTTAGACAAGAGAAAAAATGCACATAATTTCATTGATAGGCACAAATCAACATAGAATCAACAATTCATTTATAACATTGTGATTTGCAGACTATGATGCCTTCGACGTTGAGGCGGAGGTGGCAATGAAGGGTGGATGCGAAGTGGGAAAGAGCAAATCTGAAGGACCAAGACTGTCCCATGCAGAATCAACGGATTCCGGGATGGGATTCAGCGACAACGTGAAAGATGCCGATAACTCGAGATTAAGCGACGGTTACGGAACTATTCATATGATCGAGACAAAAGAAGAACCACATAATCGTAAATCTCTTATTGATGGGGATGCTGAATACGACGAAGTTATGGAGTTCATTTCGACACCTACTGAAGCAAATATAGGTATCGTATAGTTCTATCAGTGGGATCATACATATTCAAATCAAATTGAAGCAATTGGGAATTTTCAATCGTTTTCAACACTGATAAACTAAACACAAAATCCCGATTGTACCATACAATGAATAATTAATTTTTCAATTTCCTTTCAGATATTCAGAACACAATTATGGAAGAGGACGACATGAATACTAGTGCTACTTCAAATGAACCAAATTCTAAATACGCGGAACTCGATTTAGCTGTAAGTACATTTAAAAAATATTTTTGTTTACAAATTTTTATTTTTATACAATTCGTAGAATCATCTTTTGGCTTTGTGGAATCGTAAATAAATGCGAAAAAAATTCGTTTTCAGAAAATTCTTCATACGCGACGACGACATAAAAAGATTATGACAGCTGCAAAAAAACCTTCGCAAGAAGAAAAACCTCCAGAAGAAAGTATGTTCAACAGTTTGAAAAGGAAAACGAAGTCGAAAAACTATTCCTTCAGCAATTACGCAACCTATGCGCCTCGGTAAATATAATCATTTGTTGATATTTCTCAAAGCAATGGACTAGTATCTTACCATTTTTTTCTCGATTACAGGGGTCGCAAATCATCTAAGCCAATCAGCACAGACTCTTGGGCATCAAGACCATCATCCACTTGCAACGAAGGTGACGACATTTTGTCTCCTCTGTCAGACCGTATTTCACAATCAACATCTCTTGATCGAAGATCGAATTACACAATTGTTGACATTCCTTATGGACCTAATCAGTCGATCACTCTTAATACGAGGCGAAGCCATCTCACTAGTGATCTTATGATGACATCTGACGTCAATGACGAAGTCATAACTCCTACAGCAACCATGGACAGAAGCATGAGCTGGCGAAACGATCCCAAAAGTCCCCCAATTGACACTGAAGATCTCAATACAAACATTGGCAACATGAGTAATAGATGGAGCTGGCTGAGCAACTCATCCCATGACCAATCACAAAGTAATGATAAGGTAAGTTAAAGAATGTATTCCAACTCTTTATACAGAAATATTCATAGATATCATGCAAAATTTGCACCGAAGACACCATGTGAATAATTAGCGAGTTCGAGTGCTAGTCAGTCAGGTCATTTTCAGCTAAATAGCCTCACCGTACTTCATCGTGTGAAACGTGCTGTGCTCCAGCATTTACGCCTATGTTAGTTAATTTTGAAAAGCCATACTTTTGGCAGAATATGTGAAAATTCGCTTCAAATCACATTTCTAGATGAATACAAAACCAATGCTAATTATTTTTTATGGCAACAATGAGGTTTCTGGCATGTAATCTAGTTCTTGATTGATTTTCAAAAACAAATCTTCTCGTTTCAGACACCCACATCCTCACCCTCAAAAAGCCCTTGGAAGATTTTCCGGCGTCTCCTAGGAGGAGGAGAAACAAAGGACACAAATCTAACAAGATCCCGCAGTACATCAATATTCCGACGATTTTCGACGAAGAAAAGTCATAAATCTAACTCTTTTAACAAGCGGAGAAGTAGTGTTCCATCAAAAAGTGAATGGGACGTACAACTGCACGACGAAGAAGTTTCGAACTTGGATACGTCAGTTCCAGTATTGGATGCTGGAAAGCAAAAACCAGTTGCGCCCAAAGGAATCACAACACAAAAACCTCGCAATAGATTGAGCACCAGACTTATGTCCTTCCGGGGAGGTAAAGGAAAACACTCAAAACAATCGAAAAGTGATCCAATGTCCAAAGGACTTAGCATTTCTTCGCCACAACTTGCACTTAATGCTATTGACCCGACGAGAAATTATTGTGAACATCAACTGTTAAATTTATACGATATGAAAATTAGTTCTGACAAAAGGTGAAGGATTATACTAATATAAACATCCTAACAATAGTTTTGAATTGCCAATCCTATTCAATAGTGCTGGTCTCATCGTTGCTCACGATATCCTCAGTGCTAACGCGCGCAAATTTAACATCATATTTTGTCATTGAGCAAGCATGCCTTTATTTATTTATTTCAAGAGTTTATGTCATTTATCCAAAAAAGATAACATAACATTGTTCAATAGATGGTCCGGATTCAAAATCTCCTCTCCCTCTCAGAACGATTTAATACCTGGTAGTTTCATGGTGTTTAGAAGAGAGTGAATTTATCAGAAACAACCATATTCTAAACTAATAATGTCACATAAAGATGTGTCAAAAAATACAAAATGTTTTCGGAAAATTCGGCCAAGTTATTTTTACACACTCGGTATCTGATCACATCTAGTCAACATCCTTACAGACTATCATCTATATCTTGCCTACTATATTACATTTTCATCCTGGTGGAATACCCAGCATCTATTATTTCTTGTTTTTCTCATTTTTATTTTGTTCGTACGTTCCATGTGTTGTTATATTATGCTGTTGCATAAATCTTAATGCTGATTTGTTAGTTTTTATTTATGTGTTGGGGTATTCCTTATAAGAAGTTATATCAAAATCATGTTCGAGATCCAATGTCGCAAAGAAACCCAAGGACATCATAACATGTTACAGGATGAGACTCAATATGAAGTATACAAAGTAGCTGTTAGCATCATCTATAAATCCGCGTACAAAATTTCCATATTTTTTTATAAAATTCCTTGATAGTAAACGTAATATTTATAGATTTCGAGCAGCGCCGCTTATTAGTAAATTAGTCATCTTCTGTAGTGATAGATATGGTGGTATTCGTTTTAACAAGAGCATAACTTGATGCTCAAAAAGAAAAGGCTCAATGATTTTGTCAATATGGTATGGCAATAAGAACTGGACGCAGGTCTTATCAGTTAGATTGCGGGTTCGACTTATTGCATTTCGAGTACGAAAATGATGACACTGAGAATTGAACTGATCAGGATACATAGCATTTACCGAACCAAGGAAACACTTTATCTGTATGAATCAGAACGACATGCATCAATTTTGACGCATTCAAATAAAGGCCGCATATGTTTCTAATAATATACAATTCAAAATGTAATCCAGAAATATATACTTAATTCAAGAGTCTTACTGCACACTAACACATATGTATTTCTGTAACATTTCGTCTGACCGAGGTCAAACTTACTCAGACAAGCATTTTAAAACTGTGACAAGAAACGCAATGCACATAAATAATGGTATCAACTGTTGGGTCTCTTTTCGATAGAGAGAAATAAATAAGATTGAGACAGGTGCCAGAACAATAGGGAAGCTAAATTTGAATTACAATCAATAAATACCCCACAGTGTAGTGAGTGACAATTAAAAAGTAAATTAAACAATTTCATGCTGTTGATCGAAAAGCTCTCTATCAAAAACAGACCCAACATTTGATACCAATATTTACGTACATGCCATTGCGTTTCTTGTACAGTTTCAAAATGCTTGTCTGAAGAAGTATGACCTCGGTCAGACGAAACGTTACGGAAATACATTTGTGTTAGTGTGCAGCAAGACTCTTGAATTAAATAGAATAGTCATTTTCACTCTTGCTGCAGCATCCTTGCGTTATACGCATACGGATCCATCTGCACATGGAGCAAGGAAAGGTGGTTAGTTTCACGTAACCCCAACTGTTAGTTACAGAAATATATATAGCTGTGAAATAACGTATACATGAATATGGACGTTTTTAATTCATCTATTAATTCTCAGTTCCTTTGCAGAACATTTGAACTTCTTGCTATCTCCGTGGGCCCCCTATCTTTGTTGCTTTTGAAGTATTTTGTTTGCGTTTCAGGTGACGCCAGTTTCTTAAGGTCTTTCTGTTAGTAACAGCATGCAATATGGTACAAGAAATAACAGAACCATATTCTCCTAGTATTCTTTCTTTCATTCAAGGTTCCATGCCGAGTAGTAGTACAACAAAATTACCTTATCCTGTCATGCTTTTAGCTACACGAATGTTCTTGCCATCAAATACAACGGTTCAATAGCGCTCCGCGTGGCTAGGCAAAAATATATATCCATGTCTGCGTTGCTTTTCCCGATTTTCGTAGCATAAACAGATGCCAGCGCATATCTCTTGAAAAATAGATAGCGAAACAAATCGATACCCACTCATGTATGACGGCGAACAACCTTCGTTGTGCAGAAGAAGTTCAGTGAACGCGATAGCATGTTTTGATTGTGAGTCTAAATCTAGCAAAATGTATTTATTGGAATTAGTCATTAAAACTGTGATTGAGGGAATATGACGTGTCATAAAAATCAGTATGCGTTAAGCTGGAAATTCGATACAGTTTCAGACAAGATGTTACTTGCTAGCGAACTCGCCGGCCACCTTAAATTTCGAAGACTGTAGAATGGACCCAAATGTATATGGACCCAATCATAAAACATATATATATATATGATTTTAAAAAATCTGAAATACTAGAATATAAGTGCAAAATTCAGTTATATACTTTTTTATTGCATTGTCATGGGTCATTTCTATATCTCTAAAAATGAAAAGTTAGAAAGTATTCGAAAAAAATGTCAAATGGTCGCTAGCCATCTAATGGACCCGGATATCTTGCCTGGCCATGCGGCAAGGTTGTTTCGCTGATTATAAGACAACGATGAAATGAGTCCACAACGCATACATCAGTCATGGTGTGGTGTATTGATCAATGTGACAAAAAGCATTGTGAAGAATGAATAGCATGTTGCAAGAAATAACACAGAAAAGGCGCTTCGTTGTTTTGAGTCTGATTAGGATTTCTCGACGCTGTGTAAATTTACGCCAACTTTTACGGTTGGACAGTTAGGCACTATTTCTTTCAATTTCAGTCAAACGCAAACAGTCGTCAAAGAGACAGAAAGCGATGTCAAATAAATTTGACTTGTGAATGTAAAGTTAAATAACGGGCACAAAAAGCTAAACTACAATACTGGATCTCGCAAATGCGTTGCAAATCCAACCTCATTAATATTTTACGTTGGTCTGGTGGTTGACCAAGAAACAACGCAGATGTATTTCTAGTGAATTTCTGTTGTATTTTATTGAAAATTAGGTAAGGTAGAAAACATTGGTGGTATTTTTTAAAAAATGTTGCAATCGGAATAGTAATCACAATAGTCGCAAATTGCAAAAAATTAAATCTGTCAAACAAAGTTTGGTTGAAGTCAAATATCTACCAGTAAGGTTATCTTCTTTATGTTAAGTGTAATGAGCTATAACCGAACGTTTTGAAATTATCTGATTGTTATAGCGATTTGTTTACCAAGGAAGCCAATTCTAAAATTACGTCATCGTGTATTTACTTTGGGAGTTTACAATCCCAAAAACTGCTGGGCATATCGTGCCTCCTTCAGACGTACGACTTGTTTGCTCAGTATTTCCAATAGGCTATAACGAGAATTAGAAGGGTTGGGCTGCACAAAATGTTGTAGCTAAGTCATTACATCTTTTGTATATTCATATAAGTTGAAACTAATGTGAGTATGAATTATTAGTATGATTATCGTTTTTTTATTAGTCATTTCTAGCGGATCATAACTGCAATATTTTTGGTAGGCTTACAATAAATTCATATAGTAGACGGTAAGACTGTATATGTTTGGTTTGGGTATATCCTGCATCTTTATACAATATATATATATCAGGGCCATTTACACCGATGAAGGAACATTAATATTGTGTTATAATGAATAAATCTAGTGTAGTTTTATGTCATGCGGTAATTTTTAACTTTTTTGTACCGTTATTCGATAAAATTTACTACACTCTTGTGTTTTATTCTATATAAAAAAAAAATTATTTAATGTTGTTTGTGCTAATTAAAGCGTATAAACCCGAATGAGTTATCAGTAATTATTTTAAATATACCAAAATACCCAAGCTCTTCGATATTTATATATGTGTATTGGTATATGTAACATTTCGCATTGTGTTCGTAACCAGCGGGTGGTGCTCTTACCTAAATTTGTATTTTATATATTTTAAGCGCATAAACTGATACTTCAAATTTATACTCATACGACCTTGTACATGTTATTGAATTTGGAACGATTATTTTTTGTTTTTAAAAATACAATTGTATTTCATTTGCAGATTTATATTTATTTAAAATTACTAATGAAACAAGCATTTATTATTTATTTATATGATGGAGCTAAGCAATTCACGTTACTTGCCGAAATCCTATTCCGATGAGTCAGGAATAAACCGTGTAGTACGGAGAACAAGGAGCAGCGTCTCAAGGGAGCTTTCTACTGCGAACCATGACACACCAACACACCGAAGACGGCCTAGGTTCGTTAGTTAATATTGAATGGTTTGCATTGAAACTGGGGATGACGTAATCCTTTTGTGTCGAATCGACCGCGACTTCTGCTTGTAATTGATTGAACGATACACGAAAAACGAAACTAAATATTCATGAATTAAATATATTGAAACTGTTTCTACTCTCTTTTTTCAAGAAAATCTCAACAATATCGTCAATCGAATTTCAAAACAGATAGTTTTTACTTAATCGATATTAAAACTATAACATACGCGAATACAACTAAATAAGTTCCAGACAAATAAATGTGAACAATAGCGTTTGGATATTTTGTACGAAGCCCCGCCAACGCTTACAATGAGAAAATTAGTGGAAATATCCTGAACTGGATATTTACTAAGTTGTTATTTTAAAACGTGGAGCGGACATTTTTGCATTAGTGGCGACTGGCGGGGGTGTTGTACAAAAGATCCTATCGTTTAATTGCAATACTCGACTAAAAGAATGCCGGAGTGGCTTGGGCAGAACGCGTATTCAAATTATGTACGTAGATATGTTTGGTCTATGGGCGTGTTTGCCCCATACAAGACTCGTGGTATAACGCCAACATTTTAGCAGGGAACCCAACCGCCAGTTCAGGCCGTATTGAAAATATTGAGGAATTGCTGTTTTGTTTTTCAGTGCGCCTTTGCCGTCTTACAGCTTATCCCCAGCTCCACAACATAAAATTCAACTTATTTTAATCGGTGACCGGAACGTCGGTAAAACATGTGTGCTCGAACGATTCACAGAAGATCAATTTCACACGGATTTGACGTCAACAGTAGGTGGGATAGACTCTTTTATACGAGCTAACTAACCCATAAATAGGATATCCTATTGTCACGCACTGCCTCAGTATTAATTCTATTATTTACCATGTAAAATTAATCAAGATTTCGAAGTATGTATGTGATTGATGATCGGTTCAACACAAAATGAGAACAAAGTTGATATCGATTCGTGTGAGTTTGTACAATTCTCACATTGAATCAATAAGTGCTGCATAAAAGTTATCAAATGTGATAAACCACAGTGTTTTGCTGCATCTCGAACCATGACTAAATTTAAAAGGTATTTTTAAAACTCCGCTTGACGTTTTCATTTTATATCATTTTACAATAATAATTACCTTTAAGCGAAGATAACAAAAGATTGATAAGATTCGATTACCGCTTTGACGTCAAAATTTATTCACATCCCTAAAATCTCCACCCGATTTATATCACTGCATGTACCCACTACATGTAAGACCCGTCTTTATAACGTTTCCATCAAGCGTGTTTAAAATGTGCAGCACAACTAATTGAATCATGATGTAAGCCAAAAATTTATCAAGAAATCAATATGACGACAAAGTTATTCCACGAGTCAATTCTGCAATGCTTTTTCTTGTCGAATACCTGTGAAATCGCGTGCATGGCAATGAATGGTCTACTAACAAACCAGTACGTCAGGCATAGCTGCTATTCAAACATCAAGTTTAGTAACTTCCGGAATTTTTTGCGAAGTGCCTCCACCCTCTTCAATATTACATTGCTTTTTTATTTTCTCGTCCAGGCATTGATTTCAAACTCAAAACAATCACTGTGGGAGAAAAGTCTATTCGTTTGCAAATATGGTATTTTTTAAATTATGTCTTAGATAATTAGCTGCTTCACTGAAATGACTTTTAAAGCCTTCTTCGTTAGTATGATTACTTGCTGATGCGAGAGGGATTTTTAACCAATAGCGCATATCGCCACAATTTTACGTACATGTGCATGTGTACGTTTTTGGTATTTAAAGACTGAATTTCAATACTCAGGTTTGATTTACCTGCCCTCTCTAGCATTACGGAAAACAGCCAGACAAGTCAAACTCTGTATCAAAATATTGTTTGGCAATCATTAGTACGACGGGAAAAACCTTTGTCTTTTCCAACCGTATGTCAGTTTGTCAATCTGGCAAATTTCATTGAAAATTATCTCAATTGATTAATTAGATCCTTGAAGGTATGGAAAATAAAATAAATACCTTCCAAATATTAAATTGAAAAGACATACAAGTCGATTTGTAGAGTTTCATAAAAATATGGTTAATCATGTATCTGATGTGAATAGTGCGGACCAATCATACATGACATGCCCAATGATATTTAGCTACAAAGCAAACGTTTTGAAATGGACAATGTTTTATATCTATAACTGACACATTACTCATTTTCTAACTATTTTGACAGGGATACGGCGGGACAGGAGAGATTTAACAGCATAACGACTGCTTATTATAGAGGCGCCAGAGGTATAATCGTCATGTACGATGTCACTCGTATTGAAACCTTTTTAAACGTACGAAATTGGCTGACGCTAGTTGATGAGGTAAAAATACTTTCATATCATATTATTGAAATTTTTTCCGATTCATATAATATTTCATTATTAAAACATATTTTTTTCAGTACGGTAGGAGCGATGCAGTAATTGCCATTGTTGGAAATAAATACGATATAAAAAGAAACCAAGTCGATCAAAACAAAGCAAGAAAGGTTAATTTTTCATTCAATTTTGCGGGATTGCATTTTAAAGGTTGCTCAGGGTTGAGCATAAGAATATGAACTAATACCTGGAGAGTGGAAATAAATAGGTGATTCATTTCTGAAAACAGCGATTGACATACTTGGACGACTTTAATTCATTTATTTGAAGTTTCTGTGTCAGAAAGTTTGCACACCATACTTTTCGGCAAAGTTTAGCTTTTCTAACAAATTTTATCTCTCCTCAGAACAGGTTAAATTAGAATTGCGTACTGTTTTAATTTTTGATTTCATTCAATGGAAATAAAAAGTGCCTTTGTTTTGACCTCGGTAATCATGTCTTCTTTTTTCAGTTCGCCCAAGAACGTGGATATCTTTTTTATGAAACAAGCGCAAAGAATAATATGAATATTGAAGCATTGTTTTTACATTTAATAAGTGAAGTATTAAAAAAGGTTAGTATGTGCACACCTATGCTATCTTGAATTGTCGTGATCGAGGGAGTAATTTTGTAGGTAATCTATCCAAATTATGGCCAGTCACAAAATAACAATTCATTAATAGAAACATCCTTAGTTGTTGCTCTCCCACACAACGTCAGGTTGGGCGTCTCAAAAATGTTGCGTCCACACTTATCTTCAAATTGTATGAATCTCACTTCATATTGGTATTCAAACCTTATGCGATGTTATTATATTTATCCTAGCCCAGAACGTAGCATGATTTCTATTGCATATTCTTACTCCTACATTAACCCACAATGTATATATATATACCCTAACTCAAAAAGAGACAACGACACGACAATTTTGAAACACGTGACGTTTTACTTACTAGAGGGAAGCATATACCCAATAATAAATACACAATCTCTTTCAAAAGCCCCGCATTTTTTGTCGTATATTTCTCCACTATACTTTAGTAACATAGAAGCAAACACTGTATTGGATAGCGTAGAATTCGTTCAGGCGCTAAAATGTTTCAATACTTTCGTATATATATTTACAGCATCCCGTAAAAAGGGATAGAAACTCAATAAACGGCGCACCGCAAATTCGAGAAGATACTCCAAAACCAGAACAACACGCACAAGAAAAATCGTTTCGTTGTTGCTGACAACCTGCAAGAAGCAAGTACTTATCACAACACGTAATGCAACGGAAAACATTGTCCATTATGCAGTGTATCAAAGCAAGATTTAGATTAATTATTCCTCTTTTCATATTCAGTACATGGCAAAATAGAATTCTGCGAAGTACAAATATAGAGAGAGCGAAGACATGGTACAAATTAATGTTAAGTTGGAGTGAAAAAATCGGAACACTTTTGAGTGTCTCGATATTCTCCACTTTTGAGTTTTTTATTGTTTTTACACATTTTTGATGTCGTATATAAAATTTAATGTTAAAGATGTTGAACTCTAACCTCTGCTTATAATTAAAATAAATTTTATACCTTTGTTTTTTGTATAGGGGAGAGGTACATGGGTTATTCAAAATAATACAAACCTATTGCTGATGTGTGCTTTGAGCACCCCCATTTACAAAATTTTTTCATGATATATATATAAACGTTTAAGTAGGAATTCACTTATGTGGTTCTGTTTGAATCCAATGACGCAAAAGTAAATAACCCGTTATACCTAGATAAAAACGAATAGATATTAAAAAATATCGCAGGGACTCAAAATTACACTTTTGATATTCTTTGCATAAGTCTAAGTGTTTGATAATGGTATTGGAGACGGAATCGTATTTCCAAGGAGTCCCCAATCCCCCAGTCGTTGTCGAAATCGTAAATTCTTATTTTTATGGTCGTGATTAAAATAGAACAAAAAATTCTGTAAACAAAGTTTTCTCTGTGAAAACCTTGCTGTCTCGGTCTCGAGATATTTTTGGCCCGCAGTCAGGAGCCAGTTGTTGGGTGGTTCGAAAATTTTATTGCGCCGTCGGTCATAGCACCAGCTTTTCCCGGATTTATCACAAAACGATACCTTTCGCGCCGTTATCTAAATTAAACGGCTCATGTTTTTTCCTTCAACTTCATTTGAATTTCTGAAACTTCCAACCCACCCCAAGCCCATTTTCACATTCCACCGATTACCGGTACCAATTCAAATCACCCAGTCTTAATGACTTATCAATTCAGTTGAAGAGTCGCTTTCACTACTTTATTCATAAGTAGAATATGAATCAAAGAGTCCAGGTGTGAATAAATAATAATGAAAAAAACAAGAAGCATGACACAAATCCTTGATACTAGAAATCAAAACATGATAACTTTTGCCCCAAAGTGTCTCTATAATTTTGGATGGGAATAAGAGATGTTGCAACAGACATTTCATGCAGCCTTTCAGATATTTGGAGTAACATTTGCAAGTAACCAGACCCAGGAGATACCCCTTGCGAAGAAACATCACTACTTGTACTCAAAGTGCTAGATGAATCATCTCTTGTTTGAGAAGTGTTATCAATTGAATCATTGTACTGTTCTTTCACTCCTGAAGCAATTTTTTCAAAAATACTTATCAAATCCAAACAAAGAATAAACAAATTTTCGTGGCAGTTTTTGCCTTGTTTGTCCAGAGGGAGATCAAATAATGTTACGATACCCCAACACACACAACAAAAAGTTTGAGAAAGCATAAAAAGCTGAGAATCTGGCATTAACCGTTCGAACTCGGGGGAATCATTAACAATACTGCTCAAAGAAATGCAAAAACACTTACTGAAATGAAGCCACATTGCTGATGATGTCCACAAAATACAGCATTCTTTGGATAAAAGTCCAAAAGCATTGGTTAATATTTGCAAAATGCCCAATACAATTTGACATTCATTCATATCAATATTAGGAAGAGAAACAACATGTTTGGGGCTAAATGGAACATGCAATTTACACTCAGATAGAAGTATTTTAGTAATTTCAATGAGTGTGTGCCACTCATGTGGTAAACAGAATGGCAAAACTTGTGCTAATGTCACAGTCCAGCCATGAGTAAATAATTTAATTTCCTTAGGTGCTAATTGGGAAATGTCAAGGCTGGCCAGAGGACAAAGGCTTGGGTTGATAACAAAACATTGATGCCATGCCAGCAAACCGGTTCCAGCGCCATAAGATAACTCCTCTGATGCCTGCAATATTTCAGGAAGCTTGCAAACTTCCGCTAAACAACCTGGAACCCTTATTCGAATAGAAGAGTCCAATTTAAAAATTGGTAAATAGCGGAGCTTAGTGGTCCATGTAAATTCTGCTATAGCCTTATGAACAAACTGTATCAGAATCTTCTGATTGGTCAAGTCTGAATTCTGTAATACATCAACAATTTTACAAACCAGGTACTCAAAACATTCAATGAGTAACTCATGCCTTTCTGAGTTGAAATCTACATTAGATCTCCAAAAGTGACGAGATGAATCAATTTCAACACCTAGGCAAACACACAGTGAAAGAAGTTCCTCTATTGTAGTATTGTCAAAAAATGCATGTGTCTCAATTAGACATGAAAGAATTTTGAGGCATAGCTTTGATGACAGGTTGTTCCCTTCATTATCAGCGAAGCCCTCAGCAATACTATGAAATGTTTCTTTTACAAAACTGGAAGCATGATTTTCAATATTTTTCAAATTAAAAAGTTTTTGTATGAAATTCAACCCATTGTCAACAAAGGTTGAATCCCCGTTTCTCCAGAACTTTTTCATACTTTCTGAGTACCAATTCCATACAACAGATTTTGATGAGTCCTCTGTTTTAACATTAAAAAGACAGTTGAAATGACCAAATAGATTTATCACAAGTTCAACTTGCTGTTGGTTTTTCAATGAATGATCTATCAAGTTTTGGATCATTCCTCCTGGCCAGGATATACAAACATCGCACGCCTTGTCTAGAACAAAATCACTGGCTTTATCCTTGTTTGTCAGACTGTCAATAAAGTTTTTCGCCAGATTTTCCCGCTTGTTTTTAAATTTTACAATCTTTGAAGCATTATTTTCAGACTCCTCAAAAGGGTATTCAGAAAGTAGACGGATGATCTGCGGATCAGAAATAACAAATTCCACAATATACAATTTGCATTTGAGATTTAGCAATTGATAACCAGCCCAAAACAGACTTTGAAATAAACATAGTACTGGTATATAGTCTTGTTGATTAGAATATTGAGAACTTTCGTTCGTGCATCTTGATAAAGACCTAATCAAGATAACTAGGGTATCCACATGAGCCAAACATTCAGGGTTCACAAGAAATGTATCAAATACATCTTCCCACATATTATGAAGTAATGGACTTTCTGCAATTTCTTCAAGAAGTTGTTTAGTTGTTGTTCTAAATCCATTCAAGAAGTGTTGAATAATGTAAAGCTTTTTTTGGTACTCAATATGATGATGATTTACTTTTATTTTTGTATCTTCATCATATTTATCTTCACATATATTCTCCAATGTCCTGTTTAGAGGGAGTAATATTTCACAAAGTGAATTATTTTTTCCATTTTTCAAACAACAATTTAAGGACTTCTTTATAAGTTGAGCACAATAGTTCGATGTTTCACTGCATGCAGATATTGTTGTAAGTTTTTGTGAATCAGTATCAATATCTTTCAGGTGTGATTCCCTACGAATTGATGCCAAATAGGTTTTATCTGCATCCCCAATTCCCACATTTCTAATTAGGGATTCTGACAAAGAGTGGTGAATTTGGTGAAGATATAACACATCAGGCTTTTCTCTGAAGTTTACTCGTTTGAAAGTAGAACACATTGATTGAAGACTCCTAACCATATTTGAAACACATGATACATTATAAGATGAAGAAGGTTTTGATTCCAGACTAGCAGTAGACAAGTATAATAGCACCTTTTTCAAACTGTCATATACATTTTCAACTTTGTCACTGTTCTTTTGAAGTAACTTTACACTAATATAAATCGCCATCACAAGCACAAGTATTTCTACCAATGTTAACTGTTCTGCGGTTTCGTACCCACATTGTTGTTCTATGCTTGCATCCAACCAGGTGAACAATTTGTTCGTAATGAAATACTGTATCTCATCGTTCATTTCGAGTATCAACTCCATAATTTCAGGGGCCAGACCAAGCTTTGATATGGTAATGAAAAAATTATTCCATGTAAGATGTGGAATATGTAGCAATAGATGTTCATAACATGCTTCAAACATTGTGGTGGTATGCAAAACAGTTTCTTCTTTTTCCAAGACTTTGGCTAATAATATACTTGCAATCTTGAATCTCATATATCTTTTATCTTCTTCAGTATTCTTACAACCTAATCCATGTTCAATATCATTCATAGCAATTGTCATAGGCTTCAGCCATGATAGGTAATCTTTATCTGCACGAATGTCATCATTTTGTTGAAGAGAAGCATTGCTGTTTTTGAGTCCTTCAATAACTGTAAATTCTGTTGTTCCCATTTCAAAATTCCGGTGATGTATAACAATACCTTAACTATTAATAGTACATTTATTGAAAAAAAAAACAGAGCATAGCTTTACAAACAGCCAAAAAGACAGCCAAGTTATAAACGAAGCTTACAGTAAATGACGCATGGAGTGCATTTGGGCATTTTTACTGATAGCTAACCTAATGCAATGAACCATCATATCATAGGATTCAAGCTCTTGGCATTCCAGGGGTCTTACTACTTACTGAATACAGCGCAAAACACCGCAAAGAGCGCAAAACAGAGGAAAACAGCGCGAAACAGAAGGAAACCAGCGCAAAACAGAGGCAAACAGCGCAAAACAGGAGACGCAGTCATTACCACCTCCTGCCACGAAAGAACCACGGCGCCTCTCGCCATGGTTTTATGGCGCTATTTCCGGTATATTTACAAGCTTATGTACCGGATTATAGGTTATCATGCAAAATTTTATCTACCTATTTGGTGCTCCAGAAGTATGTGCAGCAATATGTCGCACAACTTTAATCCGCTACACACACACACACATACTATTTTTAGGTTGTGCGCCATCTTGGTGCACATACTTCCGGAGGTCCCTTTTTACCTAACCCTAACCCTAAAGCCAACCATATCCATATGGAAAATGTTTTAAATTATGGTGCCCAAAATGTGTCACCAGCAGGGACAGACCTGTCATTACAGCATTACTGGCTACATACGTTGGTTTGTGTTTTTAATTTGCTGCCGTGGTACTCCAACTCAAAACAAGGTGCCCCGAACTCATCGCAAAATTTTTTTCTGCTTCACACTGTTTCCCCTCTGTTTTGCGCTCTTTCGCGCTGTTTTGTGCTGTTTCCCCACTGTTTTGCGCTGTTTCCCTCTGTTTTGCGCTCTTTGCGGTGTTTCGCGCTGTATTCATTAAGTAGTAAGACCGGCATTCCAGTGGCACTGCAGCAGTTGCTTATCAGGTAAATCTTTGTTACTTCTGAATACAGGACTAAATGAACAAGAAATTGCTTTGCAATATTTTCTTAAAAAATGTAAAACAGCTCTGCTTCCTATTACTGAGATTTCGTATCATTCATTCATTTGTCAGTTTGTGCACTTTGACATCATTTTGTTACCTCAAGATGAATTGATATTTAAAATGTGCACATGCTGACATACCATCCCACAATATAATAGCCTATATATTTTACAGTTTTATGAAATATAGTGCACCTGGTATAACATAATACTGTCTGACTATACAATGATAATAAATTCCTCAATGGTAAGTTCAGAATGTAGATCTGTAGATAGGCCTATCGCCAATATCAGTACTCTGGTACTGGTACGTCTGTACGTACATTAGTAAACAAGAAAATGACTCACATAAGTTTTATATCATTACTAAAGATAATTTCTAAATACCGAATACAATAAAATAATTCAACAGTCTGACAGTTGTGTTGTAACAGTTTATTTATTATGATCAATATTATGGCTTTAAGAAACTAAAAACGCATCTTAACCTAAACACAAGAACATGCAACATAATTCAGTAATTACATCGAGTCGCTAAATATAGACAAACTTAATCAAACCACCGTCTAATACTTGTAACAGATAGTAACTAATGCAGTAACGCGAATGCAGTCCGTTGTCACCTGGCGTTAATCAGTGATCACAACACAAAGAACAATAATGTAATAATGACGGAATATAAACAAAGGGTCACAAAGTGTACCGTAGCACACTGCAACAGGAATAACTGAACTTAATTTTCATAACAAGTTGTTTGGAATAAATTCGTGCATACTAGTGCTATGTACACACAGTATACACGGCACGTAACCAATACAGCAAAAGGTAGTAAAAAAGCATGCGTGGGTTCGACAACAGGGAAAATCCCCAATCAAAAAGGACGTGCTGCATGGAGTCAAATAAACGTCATATGTGACGTTTTCAATGATTTTCGACTGAATTTTCAAAACGTAAATTGTCAAAAAATGGGTACTCCCGTAGTATGTGAACCTAAATGGCGGACACCGGAACGTAGTATGTGTACCGGGTTGGGGTCAGGCAATAATTTTAGGTACAAATACCACGGGACTCATAATAGAACTAAAATAAGATAAAATTGGAATAAAATTATAGGAAAGGAAAGGATTTACATATTTGTCCCGGGCAAGAGGAAAGCCGATAAGACGGCTTATCCATATGACGAACCACGGCCTCTCGTCCGGTTACCATTCCAAGTCGGGTATGGGATTAGCTATATTGTTTGTTTTCGGAAGCATGGACTTGGTGGTGGAGGAAGCCGTAACCGACCAGCGGTTACGTGAACCACCCAACGACGGCGAGGAGTCCAGCAATCATCTCGCACATAACCATCCCTGCATGGGATTCGAACCTGCGAACCCACGCACAGTAATTAGAGGTGCGGTGGCGAGAGTATTTCTAACGCTTAGCCCGTTGAGCCACACCGCCGCGCCGAAACCAAAACTGGTACACATACTACGGTCCGGTGTCCGCCATCTTGGTTCTTCTACTACGGGAGTACCAAAAAATGTCATGTGTGCAAATAGTTTACGCTTGCACTCATGATAGTCGAAAATATATTCTATGGAGCGTACTTTGCCTATGGGGAGAGAGGCGCTTTGACCGCTATGGGGATTTGGGCTCACCTCTACAGTTAGCTGACGGAGGAGGGGTTTTCATGAACCCCGAGCCCCACAATTTCTCCTATACTTGACCACTAAAAAATTTGATGTTTATTTTGATGTATTTTTGGGATTTGGTGCTTACAAACAAGTTTACAGGTTCATAACCATCATTTTAATTTAAAATATTTAACGACGTTCAATTCAAGTACTTTGACTCACCTATACTATTGATTCTTCGGAACTAGTTTTTGCTAGTACATCATTCACGACCATCGAGTTTTCTGAATTATATATTCAAATTTGGGAAAACTAGCAAATAGCTAGCAAAACCATTACGCTTTCAATTGTTATGTCCCCGCGGATATGTGCTGATTTGCCATGTTACAGTATTGAACAATGGAGTATACCGCCATACCGGTATTTCATAAACACATTATATTTCCGCGGCCAACTTGAATAAATTAATTCACATTAGAAGCACCAAAATGACACGTCCATAAAAGGTGAGCTTTCACACGTGAACATGCCTCACTATTAGGGTAATTGCGCATTGTCGGGAAGAGCAACCCAATGGTTACGATATTTCACACGAAACACCAGACTTTGCCTGCTGGTTCGTGTATCCTGTTAGTTTCACAACGGCTGTCTGTGTTATGTAGAATACACAAAGATTGTAAATACCCATTTTGTGCAGTTCGGGGGAATTACTAAACAATTTCGCAGATGTTTCTGTTCGCTGGCGGCTTGGTGTTTTGGTAGCTTAATGATATCCAGTTTGATAATGCCAACATTTTAAACATTTGCTCAAAGCCTGTCTAATATAAAAGTTTACTATTACTCATTTGATTTGATTGAGGAAGGTATGGAAACACTTTCTCGATGAGTCAAAGAAATTGTTTCGCGAGCTATTCACCTTTCAAATAAACCAGTGAATTGTTATAGATCCAATCCGAGTGAACTATCGCGCTATTGATTGTGAAGCGAGGTTTTGCTTAGGAGGGAAACGCTCTCATTGAACTATCCCAAAAAGCACGCGAGACATTTTGTACAAGGAAGTGAAACCTTGAAAATTCTGATTATTTGAAACACAGTAAAAAGATCTATAATTTGTATGTCAGGTATGTTACTTTTCAAAAGCGAGTCATAGGGATGAATTCTTCAGCGAGATTTATCTTCATGCATTTAAGAATAATTTCACACCAAACTTCAAATTGTTGATATTTTTTATTACTTATTTTTTTAACATTATTCACTATTTCTCTTAAATATTTTACGAATACTTTAGGACACGTTCTTCATATTTTATCTCCGGGGCTGAATCTCCATAGCAGGTTCATTATGCTCCACACTGATTGACGCAGAATATTGCATAATCCGTAACCAATATATTACATAGTATATATAAATTATGCGTTTCATAGTGAAATAAATATCGGTTCATTTAGTGTAGACGTATTTTTGAATTTTGGAACATCAGATCAAATATCACTTCCAGTACCTGAGATATCAAAATTTTGCCAGCAGTGTCCACCAATTTTTTGCGGCGTTCATTGACTCTATCATTCCATATTGTAGACTGTAGAGCACATAACCTTTGTGTTATGAAGACGTCAGGCATATTTCTGAATGTTCTTACGTATAACCATTGATACCTTAACAGGAATGTTAACAGGTTGTTAAGTCATCAATGGTATAACAACCTTCTACGTGTTAGTTGGTTCGTTCATTCATTCCAGCTTTCATTACGTTGATTTGTGGTCACGTGATTTTGCCAGATTTTTTCAAAAACGTTATTTGAAAATCAAGTCTTTGTTTAACAAAATTATAGAGTTCAATTTCTCTACTCAAAGCAACAGATAAAACCGAAACAGTTTCATTTGTAGGCTTCACTTTGTTGGCAGTTTTTGTGTGACTTCCACCTGAAATAAATACGAAAGTGGTTGTCACAACTAAACAACTTAATTGAAAAAATCTCAATATTCAGACAGTATATTTGTTAATATAACAATGGAAATTCTATTGTATGGAAGACCAAAGAAGTAAAAATATTTCTATCGAGCTGAAAATCAATAGGTTTATGCTCGCGGGGCCCGGAAACATACAGAAAGTTTTAAAATTCTTGAGCGATAGCGAAATGCAGACGAACTTGAACGTAAAGCGTGTTAATATACGTATAAAAATCAATAAATTATAAAATATGTTATAGATGACCGTGCAAAAATTCACAAGCGAGGGAAAGTATGAAAGTTAGATGATATTTACACAACATTTGTAATTTGTGGGAAATAGTACATTCTAACGATATCTGTGAGCTTGCAATCATTCAGAGTAACAAACGAGACCATCCGATCTCACATTCTAAATGAGCATTACCACTGAACTGATGGTTAAATTTATGTCATCCACGAAATACGGTGTATATAATATGGCATATTCAGCCCTAGCCATTCTAACGTTTTATAATAAAAATTCGGTAATCGTGCCTAATTGCAGTATTATTTTTTCTCTTTTTACTGATATGAATACAAACTAATTCCACAATTAGTCATAATGTTTCTAGAAATAATTTCGACGTGCATTGGTCTCATCCGGAACGTGAAAATAAATATGAAGACGCTCTAATATGTCATTTCACGCACTGTCTGATAAGCATGATTTTTATATACTATATAGATGGAAATATGTTAACTTACTGTTTGGAGAAGCTTGAAATATATTTGTTGCTCCAGTAAAGTACCTGAAACGAGAACTTTTATTTATGAAAAATATTGATGGAGAATCATCATATATATATTATATATATTGAGTCGCGGCATCCCAGTTGTTAGCTTAATTTAAAGTTGGGATTCTGTGCCTAACGATAAAGGTGTTGTTGAAAAAGCATGATGAAGGATATAAGCTTGTTTTAATTTTGGCCAAAATAAATAGTTTTATTCAAGCTCACTTTGGTAAAATAGTCTCCGCCACTTTGATTGAATCTTCAAACTTTTCCAAAACTCCAATGAAGACAAAATTCTTAGCAATATTGGTTTTGGCTTTTTCCAACGCCCAGTCATCGCGATTTCTGATTAGATCATGAATTAAAATAAGTTGATCAAAGAAGTATTTAGGCTAATAAGAACTGCGACGATATTTTCAAATTAGAGATTCCATACCATATATATATATATATAATAATATATTATAATGTCTGGCAACTGACAGGGTATGAGCAACGAAAATTTAACAACAAAGCCTACTATCATGGAATAGTCTGATAAATAACCTTCGCATTTTTATGTAATAAGTTCACCAAGTGGGAAAATATCTTAGAAAGAAAGAGCTTTTTCATAACAAATTTTGAAAAATTGATAATTTTTTAATTTTTCATTTGGTAATACTTACTTGCATCTTACATCTTGCCCACAAAAGAATTGCATGAAATTTTCATGATTTTCTACAACACACTTTTCCGCTCCGTTTTTTACACATTCATCCAAACTCTATATAAAAAAACAGTAGAATTGAATATTATTCGAAGAATATTAACAAAAATATAATTTTTTATTTACAACCAACCCTCACTTTAGCAATTCATAATCTCCTAAACGAGATATCTGTTTAAAATCGTTTTTGTGCGTTTCTGGCGATGCAGATTTGTTATATTTAGAGAATAGACAATTTGTACTAATATTATTTTCATGATATGTTTAGTCTGTAGATAGCAGAAAAATCGGTATCAGCTGCAACATCAAATATATATTCGAGTTTTCAAATATATAATATCATGAAGCTCACCATTTCTCGTCGTTCTTTAGACATTGGCCATAACCATTTTCTGATTTTTTCTTCCGTCCAATTTACAAAACCAAAACGTGAAAAGTAATAATGCGACACAAATCTATTAATAGGGTGGCGGATCATATTGATATAGGCCGGTTTCGTTACATTATACCTGAAAACAATATATAATTTAGTTACAAAAATCGCAGTTACTGTCAGCCCTGCCACCCTGCTGATATGAAAGAAAGGCCAAGTATCACCAACAGAAATTTAAACATAACGGGAACGTTTAACATGGCCCACTTCGGTAGTCTAAGAAAATTTGATACGCAAATTCGTTTACGATGCTCACTGCCCTTGGATATTAATATTTGACAGATTACAAAGCAAAAAATATTGATGACTTGCGGTTAACCATATTTTTAAGGATCTAGTATGTCGTTGAAAGATACAATAGCTACGCTTCACGCAACGAGGCTTTGGAATGCGGAAACTCAAATGAAATAGGTTCATACTACCATCACGAAGCTTGTAATGTAATGTATCATGCTTAGCCGAGGCCTGATCTATTCTATGGTACCTTTTGATTGTGAAGCGGCAAATTGCACATTGAATGTACAACAGATTTATTGAGAATTTGCAACATAATTAACTAATACGGCGACTCCGCGATTGAAAGAAAATAGTGCTCTTAAAATTTTTGAAGGCCATGTGCGCATAATATACTCCCCGTTCATTACCTCTCACGTTTAGCTATTTCGATAATACATATAATTGGCACGCGCATTAGGCCAAATTATTTTCTGTCACAAAATCGATGAAATATAACAAAAATTTGAATTTGAATGTTTCTAGCTTTTCATCGCAAATAAATTACAATATTATGAACCTGTAACAGTGGTACAATCTCTAAATAGTTAGCGTAAACTAATTTAAATGAGTTTACTTTGAAAGATTCGGATAGCGCATGTACATCTTTAAAACTGGTTTGTTCAGGTTTAGTTTAAAAGCATAAAACAAACGTTCCGTCGATCTTACTTTTCGAAGTCAACAAAGTGCAGGTGACGTAAAAATAATAATGGTTGAGGTAGTGACGTCACTTGTCCAACTAATTCGCTCTGAAATGAATGAAATAAAATTACACTTTTCATTCTTAGTTTCAAAGTGCCAAGCATTTTTAATGAGTCTATTTCTACCTGGCGGTCTACAACCAAAGGTTAACGTTACTTTTATACGCTAATTACTGTGACAAACCTTTATGAAAAATATTTTATGTTAAGAATTTTAGACTGCTTTTTTAGACTTCAGTTCGGCCATTCTATGGGATTCAATTATTGTGATCATAAATATCTGCAATAAACACTCCGAATACAATATCAAATATATTAATCCATGCAATCTATAGCACAAAGGAGTTCATACGGCACAACACGAATTTTACACATTATAGCGTTACTTTTACATATGAAGCATGGCATTTGGTATTCGGTTCCATAGAAAGCTATTATATCCGTAACTTTGACACTTTAGTGCTAAATTACAGAATTCCATTACAGTAAATCTGTTATGCCTAATAATAACAGTACAATATTTTTTGAGGATGACCGTACATTTGAACCCATGTACATTTGAACCCATGCGTATATCCACGGGTTCAATCTATATGCGGGTGCTAAAACCCATGGGTTAGGGTTAGTATGGGTTTAACTATCCGTGAAACAAAAAAAATTCCATAGGTGCAATAGCATACAGGTGCAATTGTCATGGGTTCAAATGTACGTGGGTTCAAATGTAATGGAACCTTTTTTGAGCATTATATAGGAGGAAAATAGGAATTTTATCGATTTATTCTACTCACTTCTTCATTGCTTGTCAATGATTGCTTCACATTAGGCCAGTTATGAATTTCATATCGAAATTTGTTTCTTCTCTGTAATCTCGTTATGAGTTGACGCAATGTTGAACTGGCACATTTTGGTACCCGATTGTAAACAACGATACCAGGCCATATTGCTTCCGTTGCGATTGTGTCGGTATGAAAATGGTGGGTTTCGTCATTTGGAACTGATTCTAAATTTCGCCCGATTGCCTCACGGTTTACTTGCATTCGATCAGAATCTTTACAACTTCCTGGATATTTAGAATAAAATAAAACTCTTTATTTTTTTTTTTTATTGGGAAAGTTTTTTTTTGTAGAAACTGGCAACCCTATGTTAAATCAAGTTAAAACGTTGTCAACTGGACTCTTCCTACATTTTGGTATTTGTATCACATGTTTACTTAATGTTTGTAGTTCTTGCAATATTTACTTTTGAGGTAATGATATTTCGTATTTACTTCAATTTTATATTGCGTCCAAAATAACACCCAATCGGTAAAGCATAAATAATACAAGCAGTAGCCTATATTAAAAGTACGTGACACAGCCCATTTACCACCAATAACATGTTAACAGTTTTGCTTAGTTTATCAGTACAAGTGTAATATGACGTAATTTCTACACTTGGTTCTTCTCGAGCGCCACAAGAACAAACGCAAATAGACTGAGATAGGTCTCGAGTCGATAACGTCCCTAGTATTTTGATGGCAATTTGTTTTCATATTAGGTTTATCAACAGTGAATCCAATAGAGAAGCGAAGCATTGCGTGCGCATTGAGCGTGACCCAGCTATGAGGAAACAGGTTAAAAAATTATACGCACAATTTTCAAACAAAAGTGTTACCTTCTGCATTATATCCGTTGGCACACCGCACGGTATTGTTGTATACAGTATTCAAATTTCTATCACGCATGACGTAAATCACGACCAAAAGGGCAAACGATGCAAAAAATTTCCACAACTTCCTCTGGCGCCCAAAAGGCTTCATACTGTTTATTCATCAGACAGGATTCATAATATTATAGATTTTGATTAAACACAAACGAAATTCATAACGGTATGTCACTCATCCTCCCACAAAGACCTAATCAAAATAAAACAATTAGACCAACAGTTCTAGTAATAATAGCAACTTTAGGTTTTTGATTTAATGATGCCAACCATAGCAGTTATGGGAATCACTTTATTATACCATAAGTTTAACTGGTATATATGAGACTCCTACGTTATGTTTATTTTGAACTTTCTCGTTCAGATGTCCAGGATTTTTTCTGAACCTTTTGCAATGCTTACCATCTGGTGTGAACTAGGTGAAGACTGGCCAACAAATTCCGTCAATCCTGAATTATTTCTAATAAGTTAGGACTATTTGGGTTATTCGTTATTCCTATATGTAATCTTTCCAGTCTAACGGCTAAACTATATCGTATTACTCAGTGGCAATTTTTCCACGCTGCTAACAAACCTTAATTTTTCGCGTGGTTTACAATGAAACGACACAATTATACAGCGCTGCATGTCCTCGAGGCATTGGACTGTTCGTATTCGGCATTGTAGCCCTTCGTCGTCATGTCACCGTACTTTAGACCTGTTAGGTCGTTGGCCTGCTTAATACAAGTTCAACTACCGCGATCGGTGATTTCCGTCGATGCCTCATACAACTAGCTTATTAGGTCACCGATGTCCGTTGTAATAATTGAAAATTATTGAGAACGTATAGCAATAGTGCAAGACATGCCTTCACCACCAATTCACTGGGGAGCTTTTAGTTGTTCAATATGAAAGACGCATATCTATTTAGAAAACTCAACAAAAGTAAGCTCTGATTGGTCAGAATATTTACTATCGCGTTCGAAGGTAGTTGTCAAACCATGCGATAAGATGTAACTAGACCTGTGGAACTATTTACCACGCATGAAATATTCCCAATTGGACGCATTTTTCCTAATGAGAATGAGTTGCCCCGCCGCTCCGGCCGGTAAACCTGAATGTCCCGGTTTTGCAGTATGCCTGTCAGAAATATTTTCTTATTTGATATCGATATAGTTTTTTTTTCTTCTAACGGATGCAGCCGATTTACCACTGATTTGGAACTCACTTCACTAGTTCGGATAGAGAAATTGTTTTATCACAGTTATAAACAATATATACGTTAATTTAACACCCAACTATACTGTCGTTAAATGGTAAAAATACCGAGAACAAAGTGCAAGTTTTCTAATGAGTAAGCTCAAGTTAGCTGTCCATTATTTGAAGCAAAGACCAATAGAGGATATTTTAATAAGGTTTACAGATAAATTTTGATGCCCGTTATCTACCCATAATGGTATGAAAAATTACTGAGCCTCGGAATCGAACCAAGGTTGGCTTGCTAAATCTACACTGTCCCGTTTTTTTTTGCTTCAAATATCTGGTAAGCCTACCGATAAGATATGCCAGCATTAAATATGGATATATACCGTGATTCTTTCTGTTTAAGTCCGGACACTTGAGATCGAGGAGTATATTGTAATCCACTTCTAACCTTTACCGTTGTTGTAAACTTTCAGGGCAATGCTATCTAACCTCGTGGAATCTAAATTGCCGAATATCGTTACCTCGAAGAAAATATTGTAAAGCATTTTCTATATAATAATAACTGGGTGAATATTGTAAATGGTTGCTTGACTGAAACTTTTCTTTACCCATTAAAACATAAAAATTGAAATACCAACTTCATAAATAGTCTGAGTTTCCAAAGTAAATTTGGATGAATTTTCCATCCCACGAACATACTATTTTTTGGCTCTGTTTTGGGTGGTCTCTTATGGTGCGCTTCGTAACGACTGGTAACTGCATAAGCATCTCCAGAAAATTACTAATTCAATCAGGATGGGGTAACGTCATTATTTGCTGCCTAGAAACCGACAAGTGATTGTATTCCCGGGAGTATCGCTTTATTGAAACCATTCACAGCTGACGAATATTTCCGGATTTATATTTCACATAAATGGCGATTTAAATAACCTATTTTCAAAGCCTTCTTAATATTAAATGAGCTTAGAAGTATCTTAAAACATCCTTATCCAGGGATACATTACAATTACGGTAGAACCTTAAATGAGTACACTTTTCCATTTGGATAAAATTATATTATATTACGCCCGGTGGCGTACTTCGCTAGTCTGTGAGAGTTGCGAGTATTGCTTTCATTCAAAATTCGACAACAGGCCTTTAAATGCAACTTGCCGGGGTCTTAATTTTGAAGAAGATTTTTAGCATAAAAATACGACCCAATTCCCATGACAAAATGGTTATCACTCCAACAACTTACACAACATCGTACATACGTCACTGTCATCTCAGTTCTTGGAATATTTGCACGGGTAACCAACCTGCTTTATGCGTCTAACAGTAAGAACTCCCAGAGCGAGATGCGTCGCATGTTGTGGTAGCTTACACGAACTACTAACATTCTGCGTTAAAAGAATGAGCGAACGAGTTTATCGCGTTCACCTAATTGGGCATTACAATGATACGCAGTACACGGTCGAGTATGGACCATAGTTTCCGGAGATGCAACCGGTGTTGGCAATTGGCTTCATTTAGAGAAGCATCTCTAACGAAGGCATATACCGGCAATCGCCCGTAACCACAATTCTTTGTTACAGGCGTATCGCCATGTCACATAAAACCGTGTATTCTCTATATGCTTCATAAGGTTCCCATCGCTGAAAGCGTGAAAAGCGTAATATACTGAAAACTGAGACATGATACGTTTAGTATGATCTTACCCATATTAGAAATTGCCCTTTCCCGAAGATGTGCCATAGATATATAAATCCATATAGTTCAGTCTATGAGATGAACAATGCCCAATTATAGATGGTCGAAAGATTATATTCTTAGTACTTCTCGGCATATCAAAACCAGAAACTTAGGTTAGTCAGAGCTTGGTTGTTTGTATGAGTTTTGCTCAACAAAATCTTTAATAATGTATATTTTTTTGTAACTGTCTATTTCTTGCCCAATTCTTAGACATCTAAAAGTGAATAAGTGTCTCATACATAATTGAAAATGTCCAAAGACTGTATGATACCTCAGCGAACAAACAAAAAACTGTTTACTGCATGATCGACAAGGCGTAACATACTTGCAGATCAGGTTTTCACACAAGGGGTACCTCTAATACACGTCAATTACACTACATGTAAACTTGTTGAAACACAAATGTAAACCTGGCGAACTTGCGCTTTAGCTAACTTATGGTAATTGACCTTATACATTATTAATGACTCTGTATAAAGTCATTCAAGCTTCTTTCGTATATGCACCGTCAAAAACCACCAAAATCATTGTGTATATGAATGGGTAGACTTCATTGTCAAATTCCCTTGTTTCATTTATTCATTTTAATTCATGAATATTTTTACCTGACAATCGAAACCATACAATTGCTAGTTCCGAAAGATAAGAAAAATCCAATCTTGTCTTGCTCATATATAAATAAATGGACGGAAAACGAGCGTCCTTCCCCGACGACGATTAACGAAAAGTTTTAAGTTAACGAGGGCATGGTTTGCCATATGATTAAGCTCACTTTCCTTTTACTGGAAAAATATGAAAAACCCCATTCGAGAAATACTAAACTTGATGAAATACAATTATGCGAATAATATCCTACCTACTGTACAAATATTGGCAGATGTCCCCAACTCAGGGATGGATACATTAGTAAATAACTATGTCGTCATGTTTCCAGAGCAAATATAAACATATGTTTCTCATAATCGCGTTCCATTCGGAAATTATATTTCCGAGGAAGAAAAAATCCCTCCAGTAAGTACAAGTGATTTATTATGTAGATTGTAGACAATGTTAAACATTGTGTTTTTGAATATAAACCGGAAGTTGAATAAATATTATCGTTGTAATGCATGTATTTTGAATCGCAGATAATACTGAATGAGGTTATTCTTCGTTTGGCTTACCTTGTTCAAAACAAATGGCTTGAATCTACGAACCACGGAGTAAACCAAAGTGTAAATGTTGAGTAACTCAAGAGTTACACTCTGTTATAAAAACTGTGGGAATGAAATAAAAAACTGGTCGTACATCAAAATTTTCACATGTGAAAACCTATGAATTCATGGAAGAGTGAAGAAACTTATATGCCTTTAAATACAATTTACAATAAAATTTGAATAGAAAAATTTGTTTTGTAACCAGTAAAACCTAAATCGGTTAAGTCCGCGAATGGAGGAGATGTCCAGTCAAACTCACAATATACATAAAAAATAATTTTGCATCCTTCGTGCACTACTATCCCAATCAACTTCTACAATTAAGCAGCAGTACTTGAAACAGCTAGAGTGATATTTTCGAAGATAAATTTAATGTATGACCTCAAATGATAGAATCAAAAAGTTTGATAATAAAATACACACACAATATAATTAAAAAAATGTTGGTGGTGGTAAAGTCCATCAACCCTTATTACCACAATATTGACAATCATCAAAATATATTACCAGTTTATAGTTATGCTTTTAGGCATCGGGATGGTCACGGGAACGATGCGTCTCGCCAAATACAACAGTCCGATAGTTGCCAAAATGCCAAATCCTGTCAATGTGATTTTTGCTTCTTGTTTCATTCGATGGAAAATCGGACTGTGTCTCATGTAATCTTCGACTATTGTGGCTCGTTGATTTCTGTGGGGAAATGGGAAGTTTGGAATTGGCTTTTCAAGAAAATCACACATAGGTCCCCATCCATCGGATAGAGAGAAAAGCAAAAGTTGGTCTTTTGGTGCCCTCTGAAATGAATTGAATGTATAAGATATATTACGAATTTTTCAAACCTTTTTTGCATCATGCTGTAGATAGCTTGCATTATTCAATACACGATTGAGGGTTTTGTCATTTCCCGTGTCTTGTATCTAGACCTTCAATACTAACTTCTTTACTTTACCAACAAATGCTTTAGGGCTTGGGCTAACCAATGAAATTTTTCTATTGTTCTTCTATTAGTTGTTTCAATCAAAAATTCAATATTTTTACAAAACCTTAGTGCAATTTGCTGTATGTTTTTAAGATAGTCAATCTATATCAGCTACAGATGCCAAGGCATGAAGATTCCACTCAAAAATACTGTCAGACTTAATTAAATTGCCCTTAATATTGAAATTCTTGTGATTTTTGAGAATTAATAGTGATATTTTCATAAAAACTCATTTTACTATTCGAATACTGGGTCGTTTTCTGGTGAGTAATTAAATAACCCTGCTGCAGAAAAGAATTGATCGCGTATTATTATTACTTCAGTCACATGATTTTACTTTGTCATCAATAAGTTTTTTTGGCGAAAATATATTACTAAAGATTACGAGTTGACAATACTGTGGATAATCTTGAAATCAATCACTAAATCCGGATGCACGCTTGTCCTTTTACACGATATGTGTGATTGGAATCAATTATATTCTTTACGTATACCGGTAAGCTAACTTATTTATGAGCTCAGCGTACAAATTTAACAATTAGACAAAATACTACGAAATTACTTCACCTATTTTCTTGACGAGAATATTACCCAATCAAGTGGTTTACATATGCAGACAATAGACTTCATACGTGCACGTATGTTTAAGATATACCAGAGATTTTGTCTCGAAGCTCGAAGTAAATTATAATTGTGCATTCACCATAAAAAGGTGGCGATACACATGCATGTTTTATTTTAAGATATCCAATCTTAGCTCGCCCCAAAAACGTGTTCATGTTGCTTTCCTTTTAAATAATTTCCCCGAAATGATTATTTCTATTCACATGACAAGCGACTGACGACATGTGTGAAATAATATATTAAATTGCTACGATGCGAGACGTTCAACGTTTGATTTATTAATTATGGCATACCGTAATTTAATGTATGCTTCGTCAGTCACTTGTCACGTGATTATAAATAAAAACTCTTTCGAGGAACTTATTAAAAAGGAAAGCAGCAAGACTACATTTGTCAGCGAGCGAAGATACACCCTAAAAACACTCTTGCGATGCGTTTTAATTGCTTGGACTCCCACGTCATGACATTGTGCATTATAGGGTTTGCAATGACCTTTTATTTAGTAGGTGAGTGATTGCCTTATTTCTTTTAAAACTTAGTTTATACCAAAATATCCTTCGTTATTTCTGGTTACAAGAAAATGACTTTGGTGACGTGCAGATTGCGCGACGACTCGAAGAACAATCGTGAAATCAGCGTCAAGATGATTTTGTAGCATAAAACACAAAGCTTGAAATGCTACAAAATTAAAAACGTTACAGAGTGCGACGAATACTGACGATTATAAAGTCAGAAACAGTGTTCTTAGTATTTTACGTAATCGATGTCCTCGCGTGACTGCGCATACGATTGATGTAACAAGGTTGGGAAACAGACGATATTTATAAATTTTGTTTGAAAACTATGCTTGACACATTCCTGAATCTGAAATATTATTATTTTGAGGATATTTTTGGCATTAATAATATATAATAGAATATATATTGCGAAACTATTGTAATAAATTAAAGTTCGTTTGCATATTTTCACTAACCACAGCATATGTACTGTGTGCTATTTGATTTGCCCACAATCCACAATCAAATAGTTTCATCAATGTAAGATTTATCTGAATGTTTATTGTGTTTATGTGATATATCGGCTTATACCTGATTGCATTTGACGCAAGGGGCAAACCTGAAACCGATTTGATAGGGTAGAAGACGTCCACTGAATTTTAGTTGAACTTGTCTGTCGTAAGTTGAGTGACTATCGATGGTTAAACGATAGTTCATTCAATAAAGTGATTGTTACATCACAAAATGTGTGTATCTTCAAGCAACCTTCCGCATATGTATGCGAATGGTTGAATCTGGATGCTCCTCATGCGAACGAAACATGCAGATGGGATCTACTGAATGATGATATTCTTCCTATATGTAGGGTTACCATATTTTTTTGACTTCAGGACAGGACAGGACAGATTTACATATTTATCCCGGGGGAGGGGAAAGCCGATAAGACGGCTTATCCATATGGCGAACCACGGCCTCTCGTCCGGTTACCATTCCAAGTCGGGTATGGGATTAGTTTTACTGTATTGTTTGTTTTCGGAAGCATGGACTTGGTGGTGGAGGAAGCCGTAACCGACCAGCAGTTACGTGAACCACCCAACGACGGCGAGGAGTCCAGCAATCCTCTCGCACATAACCATCCCTGCATGGGATTCGAACCTGCGAACCCACGCAGAGTAGTTAGAGGTGCGGTGGCGAGCGTATTCCTAACGCTTAGCCCTTTGAGCCACACCGCCGCGCCTTCAAAGCGAGACTCCGCCAAAGACACGATCCTATAGCTGTAATCCTGTAACTTTACAGTTTCCGATTTTACTACATAGGCCTACATTTAAAGCCATCCCGGCTGTCTTCATTGACCATATTGTCATCGAGAGTTCATGCGCATATTCTTTGTCTAAATACCGGGTTCAGTTCGAAAAATAGAAAGGAATAGACGCTAACGATACAAATAATCCGAATTTAGATTTTTTCGTACAGCAAACGGAATAAAGAATAATGAAATAGTCTGCTGTTTTCAAGCATTGAGAATTTACTTATTCGCCCAAGCATGCTTTTCTGTAGAATAAAACCTTCAAAAAAACGTTGCTCAATGTTACTTCACGTGAACGTCCGAACAGGACCAATAAGAATTGATTTTACATGTGATACTTCGTTAACAATGTTAGCGAGAAACAACGAAACAAACAAAATAACGCATTCACCTTCAGTAAGTAAGTTAGCGTTGCGCTACACAGCAACAACAGTAACGAGAACATGTTCGTGTATTATGCTGGATGGCTGAACGCAAAAGCGGGACATTTAGCTGACTTATCGGGATGGCGGGACAAGACACTAAAAAGCGGGACTGTCCCGCCTAAAGCGGGACGTATGGTAAACCTACCTATATGTATAGTACGTGATCAACCCTATCAGCGTATTTATCCTAATTTGATACATTACACATTAGTTTGAATTTACTTCTTAGGTTTTACCCGCACGTTTTATAAAAAGCCAATTAAATTTTTTGAATTATCTCTACACTTGAAGATAAAATGGCGGATTTGTTCGACTTCCCCGTTTCAAATCTCAGATTGTCTGTTTTGAAATATTAGTCTTAAATATCGAATTGTTTAACAATATTTTGTTTGTTTGAGTTTCTATTTTGTTCATTTTGAAAACTGGGAAATATATATCATACTCTATATTGTTAGTTAAAATTCCGATGACGTTAGGTATACGCAATTACAAAGGACGGGGTTTCCAATGATTGTTTGCTCAGGTTGGCTGACATGAAAACAAAATTGCAACTAAGGCAGCATTGCAGACACAAACATCTCAGTAATAGGTATTCCAAAATAAAGAGGCCATTTGCTTTATAATAGCTTTACTAGCAGCCCATTTTCGAAAAACCATTCATTCAAATGATCATGAAATCACTCACCGTTAATATTGAATTGTTGTGGTCTCGATATCTCTTTTTTGCGACCGTACTACTAATTCCTCTGTAACATGCGAAGAAAGCTTGAGGTGTGGAACAGAATGCTACACGGCCTGTACAATAATATATTTGTTATAATAAATACAAATAAACACAATATTGTTTGCCAATAAACACGAGTAACTTGTTTACATCGCTTCAGAGTCGCATTTGATAACAAAAACTTAATCTATATGATGTGCTATTGAAAGTTAGTACAATTTTGAACGTTTATTTTAAGCATATTCATTGTGTTTCCTTCTTTTTTGTATAGCAGAAGACAGCCGTGCACTAACAACTGAAATTAGAAAAAAACTTCCTCTGTTCGCACCGGACTGTGGAGTCAGGGATTTTTACAATCGACTCCGACTACGGGTCAAGAAAAATTTCTGACTCTGACTGCAAATTGTAGTTGATTTTGACTCCGTTTTCGGCTCCGAGAAGAGTTTGACCTTTTTTATCATAATTGGATTCAAAATTTCGACTTCGGGGAATTTAAAAATACGACCTCGACTCCAGTAAAAATAAGCTAACATCCCATCTACCCCACTTCTGTATGTTGACAGTCAGGCCTACTGAGCGCGAGACGTAATCCCTAATCCGACAACGCCTTACTTAATTCATCTTATCAAATAAATTCATTGAATAGCACCTTCTGACTTGTATGTATATACATACAGTGGAACCGAAGTATAGTTCACTTCACATATATAATTAGTGGTTCATTTTTATTAAACTCCCTTATCGTCATTTAGAATATTATAAAAAAGCAAATACATTTTGTGGTATCCCAGGATAATAAGAATTTCTATTGTTTAACTACGCACTAACCCACATGTCTGCTATATTTGAACATGGAAAAAGCAGTTGGTGACAAGAAAGCCAGGGTGGATAGGTAAGGATGTTTTTCGACGTTATCGGCTTGCCGCATCCAACTACGCAACCAATCATCTTCACTTTTTCTTTTCATAAATATGATCTGAAATATAAAAAAGTTTTATTTTTTAGCAAAGTATCAAATCAGCACAGAGTTATGGTACAAACATTGCGGCACGGTTTATCGTCATGCTACTGTTTGTCAAGTTGCTCGCTTATTGTTTGGTTTTTGATTTTGCGGCGTACGAAGATTTCAACATCGTTATGTTGTCATGAAAATCACACTCTGAAAATTATAGAGATGCTCAATTTTTCTAAAAACATGTTAATTGCGTGCAGTAAAACTTTACTGTCTCTAACTATATTCGAACCATATTAATAAATAAAACAGAAAAAAAAACCTTAATATTATATATATTTTATTGGGAAAGTGTTCCACAAACCATCGAGAAATGGCTATACCTTTATTTGTTTTGTAGCAATATAAACAAAACAGTATTTTCTGATAAAAATGTACCTTTGCATCCGGAAATGCTTCCAATATTTCCTCCCAAAATATGCAAAAGGGAATATCACAACCCGCGTCTATATCTTTATACATATTATAAAAATCTTCCTTGGATCCTCCTTTTGTGAGAATTTTGGTCCACTCGTTTCGAAGATAGAAAAAGTTCTGTTCATATCCATAAACTTTGTATCCTAATGCTGCCAAACAGGCACTCATTGTATTTGTTCCCGTCTTTGTGAAGCCAGCTACAATAACTTTCATGGTGTATTATTTAAGGTAATTAAAAGATTTCTGATGATATATATGCGCTGCTACATAGACAATGTAGCAAATACTTAAATTAAAGCAGAATAAAAAGGGCACTGGGCAAAAATCAGTATAGTATAGAGTTCGCATAGTGAGATTACTAAAAAAAGTCTGAACTGACCGCCTTTTATAGTACCACGAAAATAGTGAAGACAATCCATTAAGACACTCCCCAAGGTTCAATCTCAAATTAAAATCTCAAATAGTTGTTAGTGTTAATGTTGTTTTGTAGAAATGAAATATTTCCATAAAATCTCTCTCTGTGTCTTTGAACTTTTTATGTGTAAACACTGTGCCAACCTCTAAACATCGCATAGCTCATCACTTTTAAAAACTCAACCTCCAGTTGTCAACACATAATGATATAATGTTGTCTGTCCGAGCTAGCGATATTATGATTTTTGGTGTATTGGTTAACCCTCTTGTTTTACGTCAGTACGAATAATATTGTCTCATCTTTGATATATTTACTCAGTGATATCAGAGCAAATAATAACGCGATTGGTAGTAAATTTGATAGAAAAACCAGTCTAAACATTTCGAATAGTGAACTATCATGGTAAACAAGTTTCAAAATGTATTTGAAGCAGGATACTATTGAATGTAGAGAAGTTTCCGAGTTGTGCGGTGCCTAAAAAGAAGGAGGTGGGCGAGAAACTTTTAGCCAATGTATTTGAACGAACCTATCGAAAAGTACATGCATGTCTGGTACTTTTCGATTTCAAAATGCTACTAATTGTAAAAGAACACATTTATTATATGTCAATTAAGTTACTGAAAATATTGCGTTACAATTTAATTTGCGGTGATGAATCACTTTATGAAAATCTTGTTATTATCATATCCAGATTTCACATGAACCAATGACATATAACAACATTGTTATATGTCATTGCATGAACGCAACCAAACTATGAACCAAACGTAACGCTGTATTTTATCTCCGCTAGTGGTCATAGTTAGCTACGGTTGGTTAAGTTGTAAACACAGACTGCGTCGAGTCTAATGCCCGGCCAAAACAAACCGTTCTTCTTCTTGCAGTCTTGGGTTACAGTACTGGTCCCAATCAATTGCTGGAACGAGGTCGATCATGATGTAAGTTTCTATGCAACGCCAAGTATGATTAATATCCTGTGAGGGCCTTTGAAATGTTATAGCTTGTATATTATTTTCATGAGAGGTAGATGTATGAGACATAGGTGGCGAATAGGAAAACCCAATACCGGTACCGGTATTCTCTGTCTAATTTTTGTATTCTTGTTGCATTTTTCATGCTAAATTAAATAAAACAATTAACTGTGAATTATATATAAATATAACTAATATACAACTGCTGCAACATGTGGATAAACTGAACTCCTAGTGCAGTAGTGTGGGCATATATTGGAATATATTAAATTAATGACATCACGATGATGGTATGAATTTGTATTTGTTTAGATTTTTTACTATATTATTCATATATATTGGAGGGAATGGGATTTCAATTGAATAAAAAAAAAAAACATGGAAACAAAAAAATTTTGTGTGTTAAAATATAATAATTCGATTCTAAAACCTCAAACAAAAATTCTGTTTGGAATTTAGGTTATTTATTTGGCACAAAAAAAAATTGCTGGAACGACAAAATGAGGTCATATAATTAGTGGTTCAGTACATAGTGTGTTAATTTAATGATAGTTATGTTTTTGTTCCCGACCTTTTGAAAATAGTTCAAAGATATATCTATTACTCTGACCTTGTGCCGAGTACGGTGCAAGGTAGGCTCGGGTTTTATGACACGGTAGGCTAGGTGTCAAGTGTTTAATCGAATGGTGAAATTGAAAACACTCATTTTCAATTACAGTGTTGTCCAAATAGGTAACAAATATTCCCTACAACAGAATCAAGTTATTGAAGTTAATGAACACAAAAATAATCGCGTTAACCAATCGGGGCTCGTTGTGTGACGCATTGTGCTAAGCGCTTCGAACATGATACCGTACGCCGAACTGGTAACCGGACGAGAGGCCGTGGTTCACCATATGATTAAGTCATTGTATCAGCTTTCCTCTCCCTTTTAGGGGGGCCTTGTGAGGGCCTTATTATGTCACTGTGATGTTGTAGTGACATAATTTTTTTGGTGTCGTAGTCAGGTGAGGGTTAGGAATGACATATGCAAAAATTGTTAAGCCGGGCCAACTAGAAGGACATGTGGTACTAAACTTACAAGACCCAACCAATCTCTGAACCTAGCCTAGTAACTATTTCCGTAGTTACTAGAGATGTATTTGTATTGGCCCAGTCTGCATTTCATGGCTTCCTTTAATGAGAAATCGGGCATGCTTTCACATATTTTGTTGTCGCAGTGCAAATCCGAAATGCCTGAGTACAATCAATTACCACAACATGTCGGAGATTGAGCCCTGGAACCCGTCTGCAAAACAACCCATAGCCTACCGCACAAAAACAGACTTAACGGTGATCTATTCAAATTAAATGAACCAAAAACTACACACTCAAGAGTTGGTTGTTGACTGTTTTTTGGCATGCCTGCGCGAAACGAGAAATTCTCTATAATCAGTCAGTTTCAAATGTTGGACTGTTCAATTTACCACTCTTTAGATTGCCAGATAGCTTTGATTGTAAGCAATCTAAAAAAATTTGGTGTGCAAAATGGATTTTGCTCTCTTGCATTTCCAGAAAGCGCTGGGATCTAGGGCATGTACTTACCATGGTATTCGGACAGGGTATTGCCATTTGGGATAGCTTGTTTAATTCACATGCTTTGGGATATCTTTTCTTCTAGTTGAAATAATTTCCATTGTGAGTACTCTTCAAAGACAAATATTTTATCCCGTCTACTTCAGAACATTGTACGCATATCAACGTTGGAAAAATAGTATCAGTACATCTCAAATTTTTACATTGTAAATACCAAAAGTATTATTATAGTATATTAGTGTCTTTCTTTATTTGGTTTAATATCATAATAGTCCATTTAAGCATTTTATTGTTACACACATCACACATGATTTCTAAATTGTAACTAATGATAATTCATAAATAATATTTGGTACTCCCGAAGTATGTGAACCAAGATGGCGGACACCGGAACGTAGTATGTGTATGAGGTTAGGGTTAGGCCGTAATTTCTTTCCAATTTTCCATATTTTAGTTTTATTAGGAGTTCAGGGACTAGCTAAGTTACTCCGGTAATATTTGTACTTGAAATTTCGGCCTAATCCTAACCTGGTACCCATACTATCCGTTCCGATGTCCGCCATCTTGGTTCGCATACTTCGGGAGTACCTAATATTTTTAACACATTTTTTTTCACGATTGTTTACAGTACCATACCAAGTTATTCTCTCAATTGTCTCTCTAATTCCATGTGCTTAGCAACAAACCAGTACTGCAGTACCTAGAGCCACTCTGACAATAAATAGTATCAGCTTGATAATTGATATTGTCCAGATTAATCTCAATATACTCCAAGTCTTGTCTCGTTTTATGACGTGAAATGTTACTCTTCATAAACGCTGTTGTTGTTTGATCAAATATAATTGGTGAATGAAAATGATAAACAGAAATAAATCCAAGATATGGATCCTCCGAAACTATAGTATCTTCTTACCTACCAGTTGCTGCTTTTGCATAGTTTTGTTCAAAGCAAAAGGCATATAAATAAACGAATGATGATAAATATCATCATCTCTATTTTTGGAAGAATTATGCATCAAAAATAAGAATCAGATCGGGTTTTTGTATGCAATGTTTAGCTACAAGTCCAGTTCTAAACCTAGTATCGCAAACTACGTGCTTGATTACAGGGCTTTGCTAGAATCAAAGTTTTGAAGTATTTGTTTAGCTGCAGCTTTGTACTTGAATTAATGTTTATCGTTCAAGGCATCGATCGAGTGAATATTAAATTGAAGTTTTCTATTTTCAGTGATAGGGCATTTTTATGAAAATTTTCTAATTTTGATATAGTTTGCACCATTCTTTTGTGTTGTGTCAACATCGCCATGAAGCTTTAATTTTTGATAAATATATTATCATAATCAAACTAAACTGTTTACAAGTTGCATTGCAATTTCCGGAAAGATTCTTGTTGAATGCTGCCTGGATCCGATTGAAGTGAAGATGGATGCTTTCATCAAGGCTAAAGGTATTCAGGATTTAATATTTTAACCATTTTGCTCAAACATTCTCTCAGTGACTGTTGACTTTTTATCTATATGATATTTCTTTGTAGATGATGAAATTGTCAAGTTATTGGCTGACAATCGTGAATTATCAGAAGAACTTCGCCAATGTCAAGCTGATAAAGAATTTGTTTGGTCGTTATGGAAACGCCTTCAAGTATCATCTCCAGACTTGACTCAGGTAATACATGGGCATAATAAATCAGATATTATTATTTAATATTGGACACAAAGTAAGTCTATGAATCGTTTCGTAAAATTGTTCTTGTTTGGGAGGTTGTGTTGGAAAAATTGCTTTTTTCCAGAAATGGACCAATGAATTTCAAATGTTTCATAATTGTAAATGGCTGTTTAGCTTGAACTATGTACATTTTTATGTCAATTTTTTAAATCTTTTATTAAATTATCTCCATAATCTTCTATTAGCTTGATTCTTTGTTAGAAAATTTCTGTATTGTTCTGATAATCATATTAGTCAAAAAACTTAGTTTTGCGTGTGTGAGGATGTGTGATGAATGTTTTTTATTGAATTTGAAAATGCATATCAGTAAAAATTAATAATAGGTTTCAATTTTTTCATCATTTAATATGTCATAGTTTTATGATGATCACATACAAATAGTTCAATGAAGTTTCGTAACTTATTCAAAAAAAAATTTTTTTTTTTATGTCAAATTTGTGTGGCTGTTCTTGTGGTTAGGCATTTTCTATATTGCTTTCTAATTCTAATACCAGTATAAATTATTTTAAATCGTTATTTTTTAAATCTTTGTTTTTATAGTCAAGTTTCATGTAATCCCTTATGAAAGCACTGAACTGATGTCGTTAATTCTATGTTTTGTTAGCAAGCATCTTTTTAAGTATAGCAAGTTAGGTAATTTGGATTCATCTAATGTTTTTCTGTTAGTGGTATATGGTGAATGTTTTTATTTCGGATTAAATCATAGGATATAAGTAAACAAACAAACCACATACATATGAATAGTGTTTAAAAGTTTCAATAAGTCATGTTCAGACATGTTGTATGTGGACTACTGTTCAATTTTTTCTGTATTGATTTGGTTAAATTCTTTGTGTTGACTTGTGTTAAAAATTAGTTACTTGTGTTTAAAAGTTATATAGGTACCGGTACCTACTTTTTGTGAACAAATTCAATCATAATGTTATATACATATCTCATTCATTAATTTGTATCAACCTCTATCATCAGACATCTTCAAGCGTAATATTTCTCTCTGTTGTTTGATGCGTACGAAATTGAAATTTGTCTATTAGATAAACACCTTCACCAGAGCTGTCTTGAATTTTAGTGCCTCCTCCAGCTCTCTTCACAATTAAAAATAATGAAATCTATCCCTTGCAGCGCATTATTTTTAACCACATCCCAAAGGCGGAGCCATGGTGTCAACATGTCGTGAAGTTCTGTCAAATCTCATGAAGTCTGCCTATCAATTCTGCAAATCACCATAACTGAAATTAATTTGGATGTTTGAATTTTTTTTATCTTATATAATTGTCGTTTTTCAGGCAATAAGTTTGGTTATGCAACGTGAAAAAGAGAAATGTGAAACAAAAGACAGAAAAGTTCTTGAAATCCTTCAGTCGAAAGACGAACAGATCGAAAATTTACAAGATACTGTGACATCTTTGAAGAAAGAAGTTGATAAATTAGTTCAAATGTAAGAATGATTGTATTCAGGACTAGTGAATGACAATCAGAATTTTGGTTATTATATATGTGTTTGTGTCTGGCATAGCAGAGAGTGGCCTTTCGCTATATATTTTGGTCTCCAATTATTCTGAAATGCAATTATTCTAACTTGTTCTATTGTTTGAACACTTGACGTACTATTGCTCTTTGAAACCTTATTCTAGTTTGAACGACAATCCTAACAAAATTGTTATAATCGTTAAATTTTCAAATATTGGAATCATGGTACCATTTGTAAGAAAGGCAAACTTCACTCAAAAAAAAATATTGATTTCGAAAGAATCTGGAAAGAAAGACATTATTAAATTAGTTTCATTTTAAATTTCATTTGATGGGCATTCGTGTTTTGAATCAAAATAGTTCTAATAATTATGAATTTAAGGAATATGATATGAATATTTGGAATATGATCACCTGAGTGACATGTCTCCTTAGTTTTTTTACTACCATCTTGCATTTTCTTAACTTGAATTCATCAACACAATTGTGTAGACATAGCCTCAACAAAGTATTCAGTAATCTAAAACCGATCCCATAATTTTTGAATTGTCAAACTGACAACAAAAAAAGTTTTTATCATATCACAGAAAATTTTCCTTGCAACTTGCAAAACCATAATATTAAAATTATAGCCATCAAAGCTGCTATTCAATAATAGTAATAAATATAATTCCGATTTAAAAACGAGAAGGGCATTTGAGCATAGTTTACATCAATTTTACAGGAAATCGTCTTTAGAAGAGACAAGATCATTATTAACAACAGAAAATGAAGAACTGAAACGAAACAATGATGTATTGAATGAAAGGATGGCAAGGATAGAGGCAGTAGGAAAGGATCATTCTGTTGGGTGAGATTCGTGAGAATAACTATATATCTGGGATTTGGGAATATTACAAAGTAGAAGTAATTGCTATGAAACTTACTTTTCTTTAGAATAAAAAGAAAAAGCTGGTTTCACTTTGCTTTAAGTAGTTAGTTAATTAGTTAAAACTCTAAAATTTAAAGATCAATTTGAATCTAAATGATTAGAGAATTGGGGTTTGTTGCCAGAAACTACGCAACACAGCTCAGCTTTAAAATAGCAAGTGGCGGCTAACTGGTTTATTTATGAAAATACAAGCACAACTGCTAATGAGCAAACATGTAGTTAGGTCAATGTTTCAAATGCCTATACAGACAAACTCCACTTGCGATATTAATAAAAGAAAGTATACTTATCCTTATCAACAACTTTCTTTTTTTATTTATTGCTGTGATTAAGATTGCCTGTATACCAGGGATGTCCAAAACGAATCAAATATTCGAATACATTCGAAATTCATTATATTCGATATGGTAAATTTTAGAATCTAGGAATAATTTGAACATTTTTATTCAAAAATTAGGGTTTTGAGATGTCAGACAAGTAGATCAAATCATGCAAAATCTACTGGTAAAAAACAACTCAGAGAAATGAATGACATTTTATGTTGTATCTCTTTAAATGTGATCAACAGGAAATTAGTAATTGATGTACAATTTTCCAAATAAACGTGCCTTCAGTTTAAAATGTATTCGATATTGCATATTCAAAAATATTTTTTCTAAATGTATTCGGAATAGTAAAATATTCGGTTTTGGCCATCCCTGCATATACCCAGCTCAGCGTTTTTAGAGTTCCCTCATTTAAAATCTTCACTTACAATGGTATTGAACAGTTTTGCCTTACCCTAGGAATGCATGAGAATATAATTCCTGAAGGAACCATATTCAATTATATAAACTCTTTGTGAAGTGTTTTCTCAAAAATTATGTATATTAAAATTTGTTAAACAGCCTGTATATGGTTGAGCCCATATCATACATATCCGTAGTTATCAATTTTTCATTGAATGTTCAATCGATTAAATATCTAAGATAACCCAATTGGTTCTGCAAAATTGTTGATTGATTCTTCTGTTCACTTAAATAATTCCAATAATTTGTAGCCTTTGTAGTATTTTATTTAAAAAAAAACATCTAATTTTGAAAATTTATTTTTAGGTTAAAAAAATCTGTTGAAGATTTGAAGGAACAAAGAGATTCCTTGAATGATAAGGTTTGAACTATTGTTGTGAATAATCTATTCCAATCTAATCTAAGATAAAATAATATTGTCCTCAGTAAGAATATCTGCAAATTTTGATGTACCGGTAAGCTATTTACAGATTTATAATCTTTATCATAACCATGGTTCCTGGTGAATTTGAAATGTCATATCATGGAATACTTTGTAAGTGGGATAGCTTCATGTGACACGCTGGACCCAATCTTGTTGGCATTGTTTGTTGAAAGTTTTAGTTCTCCATGCTCACCCTACAGTTCTGAATTGTTGAAACTCCGGGCATCTTCTGTTTACATTTTGAATAATATTTTATATTTGGAATTCAATTATTGGTGATTTTTTTGTATCCAGTAAAAATTTTGTCTACTGTTGTGTCGACTCATTTGAATAATTCAAATTTTCTTGTCATTCCCAGGTGACCAAACTTTTGATTGATCTGCAAACAGCTAGAATGGAGTCGCAGACAAATGAGGCTGAAAATGAGAAGTTGAAAAGGAAATGCAAAAGTTTAGAAGAAGATAATGGAGAACGTATGACTAAATGTCAAAAATTACAAGCTGAGGTATGTGTAATGGTAGCATAAGGTAGTATGCAGATCTGGTTCAAATTTAAACTTTGAATTTGCTTTATATGTTATGATTTCGAGTCAGCGTGACCAAGAGTGTTAAAAATGGGTCAGCTATATTCTGTACCAGAAAAAAAATTTTTTTTTTTAAATTCATTATCTTCATACACGGATAGATCGTGGCTTCTTTTCTTGAGTCTTGATTGTTTGTGAAAAAATGTTATAGCTTACCAACATTAGGATGTCAACCGCGAAACGAACTCGGTGACAAAAAACAATGAGCGATTATGACAAAATCAAGAAGTAAAAGAATGCCGAGATTTTAGTCTTCTAATAATTTCCTATCTCTTATAGTGTGGGTGTAAGGTTCGAATTGATTTATATTAGTTGCCATTTCAAATTGTCTTTGAATCTCATAGCAAGTCTCTCTGGCAGTTTGTGTCGTCAGTGTTCGAGTATTGGAGTCTTTAAAAAAGTCATTTTATTTAACAGAAAAAAGGCTTTTGCCTCATTCTGGTATACACTAGATGTCACCATTGCATAATTTTGGTGCAGAGTGTAGATTGTGACGTTTATCATTGAAGGGTTGAAAGCTCACAACTCTGCCCTATCAAATTGTATAATTTCAGGTTGCAGAAACCATATCTCGAACTGAAATCTTTTTTACAGTTGCAGTTTCAATCCCCTTCAAACCATATCACAACAATCTTGGTCTTTAGTATTACAAGACAAATATTGATTGTACATTTTTCCTTATCTGGCAGTTAATCCTATTGACCTATTTGACTCATATTTGTATTACCCTCCTAACTGACCAGTGAATGTAGATCACTACAAAACTCTGGGCACTTTCACCTGGTGTTGTCATTTACGTAATTTCTGATGGGGTTTTCCAGTTGGTGGCGCCAAATTGTGTCAAAAATTTTTTTGGTGTCTCAGAAGCAGGAATCAAATGGTGGCAGGAGAGTCAAATGGCAATCCAAATTTCGTAGAAAATCAATTTGTTTAATATTTTTATATATTTTCATCCCATTCCCATGTTACAAAAAGTAAAAGGGGACTTATGGATCTTTTCGTTCAGGGATATGAAGTTTAGAAAAATTTACAATTGTCTCAGCCTCTTGGCTCCGGGTTGTAGAAAATTTCAACTCTTGACTCCAGCTCTGAACTCTGAAAAAAATCAAATTTTGATAAAAACTTGGCATATGAAATCCTTCTTTACCCTTCTTCTTAATCCTTCTTCAGCATGTTAAGAACGCTTGAAAAATCTTGATGTTTTTGAATTTTTGTAGAAAATTTCGTCTTTATTATCATTATTGAAACTGTGATATTCCAAGTCTGGAGTATTTGAAATTTAGACCTCAGCATTCAGACTCAGTGAATTTGCAAATATGACTCCAATAAAAACATGCCAAACTTATGACTTTGTCTTCTCACCCCTGGTACTGCTAAATTTGTGTGTTTTATTGTTGTAAAAAATTGTTTCTCCCAGCAACTTATGGATGTTTTCAAGCGCATGCTTTAGTCGATGTTTGCTTAAAGTTGTGTACAAAGAGAAGGTGTTAAAACACCCAATAAAAATTAACAATTACCACATCAATATAACTATAAGTTGAGGTCATGCGAGACTAACTCCCTAACTTGTTTTTATGCCTTTTACTAGTGCAGGGGTGTGCAATAGGCTGTCCGCGGATCACACCCAGGCCCAGCAAGCCATTTAGTGTGGCCCTTGCACTCAGATTTTTACCCAGCAAGCATAAAATATGACAGTTTATGTTTATGAAGTCGCTAATGTGGGTAAAAATATATAATGTTCTTGCTCCTATCGCTGCGTTATATATTTTGCCCTGTGTCTTTATTACTGCAAGGCTAAGCAATAGCCGCATTGTCCTCTTGCCTTTCCGCATTGATAAACTAAATTGTTTGTGTGGCCCGGATAGATGTCTGAAGTTGGTTTTATGGCCCACTGACAAAAAATGTTGCACACCCCTGCCTGTGGTAGTGAAGACGTGTCCGTATAATGAAAGGATGCTGTAGCACGAATTAAAATGACTATAATATGCAATTTGAGAGGCTGCTGGCCGCGGCACACTGATGCACTGCACTACTTTTCATCTGGCCTAAGTCAGACTTATCATAGATTGTTTTTAAACTGCTTACCTGAGGAAGTCTTGACTTTGGTCAGACGAATGTTTACAGAAAAACATTTGTGTCAGTGTGCAGCGGGACTTCTCAATTGCATGGTATTATACATCAATATTGGTAATTGCTCTGAAGCAAGCATGAATTATTTGGTATTATCAAGGTAAGTTGAATATATAAAATTTAGGCACCCTGGTTCATACAGTCACACAAAGCATTTACAATACAAAGCAATACAACGATTAGTATCTAGGACTGTTAACATTAGTTGTTAACAACGCTTTACATATGTCAATGTGTATATGTTTATAGTAAACATAGGGTATCCTTACATCAAAAACACAAAAACATTGGTTAAAAGACAATTCAAATAGAAAATTCCATAATCATGAAACATACCTACTTGTTCAAGCATTGGCCATAGAAACATTGTACAAATCCAGCTATAAAGTATACAAATAATTTCATTTCATACTCTATCAAACTTGGTTTATTTATTGTCTATTTCAATCTTCCACAGAGAAGGGAAGTCATTGTTTTGAATATTTTGGGCAAGCTACAGTTAGTTTTCAAATGGATATTGATTGTAAATTTAGTTGTATTTAACAAAGCTTCTATAAACTGCTTAGACACAAGATTCCGCGATGTTTGTTTCGTTGATCCGCAATGAAAAAATGTTTTTTTGTGGTGGATTATATTTCATTGTCTACTAATCCTGCATAGCATTTTATGGCTCCATAAGGAGAACAACATTTTGTACAAAGTAGTTCGTATAGAATATCGTACTGGGCAATATGGTTTGAATGGTCAGAATCTAAGCTGTAGGGTTTCATTACAGTTTGAGTAAGTTTTACTAATTTTCTGTGCCATTTAGTCTAGTGCTGTGGTATTTGAAGCTGTTTTTTTAATTGTTATGGTTTTATGAGATCATATGAAAAGGGTATTTTTGTGCGTTGTAAAAGATAATACTACACCATATACTGGTATAGATTAAATTGTAATGAATCCAATTTCAGTAAATATTAGCTACAGGTAGTTGTAGCTTAATTGTTGATCAAGATAGTATAGATGAAATAGATAACTGGCAGTGGCAACATACCGTACTCTTGATCCAGTCTAGTTTTTTTTTGATATCTTTGCTGCAAAGCTTTTTACTTTTTATTGCAACAGTAACTTCCAAAGCAATAATGAAGGTTAAATATAGGAAGAAATATCTGTGCCATGAAAAAAATAGATTGAAATTATAGCTTTCGCGTTTTTTTTTTCAAAGGAAGCGAAGTTCATCTACTTTCTAGTCTAGTACTTGTTGACATTTAAGAAGTGTTCTCAAGATATGTTTAACAGTATCCTTAGCGAGTCTAGTTCAAAGTTCAACAAACTTGTGTCCCCAAAAAAAAAAAATTAGAAATAATTAGCATTTTGTGAACTGATGAATCATTATATGCTGATATTTAAATTCAGAAATTCAAAATTATTATTAGTTATTATATTCAGGTTGTTTATGAAGTCTAAAAAATTTTAAATTGCAAAGGTAATTCATTATTACAATATATAGTTTGTTGACCCCTACAGTTGTATGAAGTTAAGTAGAAACTTGAATAAACACTGAATAAATAAAACAAACCTGGTTAATTAAGATATATTGATAACTGATTTTGCAACAAATTTAAGTTATAACAGGACTTCATAAACAGGATGTATTTTATTAATTTTAAGATGCAACATTTTAAGAAAACTTTTTATATATTCCTAGCAGTAGCTGCTTGGTGCAGCAAATATGAAATTGTAGAATTTCTTAAACAGATTCATTATTCATTTATCTTATTATGCGATTGCTTTATTGAACAGGTTTTGGTAAGACAATGTTGTCCTATCATTAGGTGTAATGTATCATAATAAATTTGAAAGCTTCCTTCTGTAAATTTCTTGTGTACCACTGATTTGCTGCTCATTAGTATTATGCCCACCTAAATAAGCCTCAAATTTTAACACTTTCAGGATTACCATTGAACTGATTTGATTTTATTAAAGAAGGAATAAAGATGACAATCCTACTGTCTTTTTTTTATCTAGAGAGAATCATTATCTGAAGAAGTATTGAAATTAAAGACTGATTTATCACATTATCGAGACGGTGAAGATTCAGCGAGAAGAGAACTTGATTCTAAATCTCAAAGTCACTTTGAAATAAAACAATCTTATGAGCAATTGAAAAGTCGCACAGAAGAACAAAAGAGTATTATTTTACAAGTGAGATATGTCTTTAATTTAAATTGTTTTACAGTAAAAAATATATAAATTGAATAAAGGAGGTATACATGTGCAGTAAATTATCTATAAAGTTTTATTGAAAGTCAAATAGATGCCTCAAGATTATGTCATTTTTTCCCATTAAAAATGTACTTTTTATCTTGGGCAAAAATATCGTCACCAGCTAATCTACTCAAAGAGCAGACAGCTATATATTGTCACCCAATCTAACTGGGGTCCACACTAATAGTTTTTCTCCATTTCCCATTTAAAACTTTTGTAAATTGAAATATATTCATCCCAAGTTTGTATGAAGGAAATGAGTTATGTTCTATTATTAATATCTTATGGAATTCTCTGTTCCATTATTTTATGTATGCATATATTTAACATTGTAATTCCAGTAAGTTATGCTTTTAAGTGATTCATTGCATGATTCTTGGGACACATTTTTCCACTATTTTTAATCTGTAACATTTTGACTGAATGTAGCCACTTTGATTCTGGCTACAGTATCCTGGTTGTTGGTACAGCGGATTCACTAAAACAAAGGGATATAGAGGGCATGAATAGCTAGCTAGATACATGCTACTCTAATTAAGCATAATTGTTATTTTTGATATATATTTTCCATAATTCAGCTCCAATCACTCAACAATGACGCGCAAAGTGTTTTAAAAGATCAAGAGAAAGCATATAAAGAAGAATTAAGCAAAAGTCATAAAATTTATTCAGAACTAGCAAGGTAGGTTCAATCATTGTACAAAGAATAATTTCATTGTGGTTCAATTCTTACACGACTGTAATGAATCATGCATTTTCTATGTCTAATGCACTATAAAATATTATTCAATTTTTCTGGTGTTTGTGGCTCTAGAGTTCTATTTTTTTTCAAAACGGCAATATAAATTTTTGTAATAGATGTATATATTTTACAACATATATACTTCCACTTATATAATACGATTTTGTACTTTTCCCCTTCCACATCAAAAAATCACCAAATTTTATCCATGAATAAGCGCTTGGCATTCCAAATCGAATAGTAAATTATTCGAATCGGTAAAAAAATTTCGATTCTCGCCATCTTTTTTTGCCTGCCAAAGGTCGAGGTGATTCCTCAATTTTTTTCGTTAAAGCCATATTTTTACAATGCAATTTTTTTTTTCTGTGTGGGTTTTTGATGAAATATGATTCTCATCGTGAGTGAACACTCAGAGAACTGTATGAGTGATATATTCTTTGTTTTTAAGTAATTTATGTGACCAGAGACGCAAAACAAGATAAAAATCACATACAATCACATATATCTTCCAAGTATTTGAGATTTGATTGACGAAAAAAGTATTCGTTTTGATTCTGAAATCACCAATTATTCGAAAATGCCCAGCCCCACCCATGAACAATGTGGATTGTTTTTCTCACATGACATTTCTATATGCCTTCCGCTCTGTACATGCAGTCATTGATATGTATGAGCTGCTGTATACTGTAAGTACCGGTGGTGTCAACAAAGTGAAGTCCAACACTTCAACAACTTGGGTTAGGCAATCACATGCCATATATAGTGATAGGAACCCTTTCTGAGTGACTTTTTTTCTTTTTAGAAGTAAGAAAATAATTTTTATTTCTGTACAATACATTTGATAACAAAGAAAATACTTATTTTTGTCTAATTTATTTTAAGAAAATACGAATCACTGCAAAAATCATACCATAATCTTGAAAGAGTTCATGAAGATTTGAAAGAAAACGCAGAAACGCTAGGCATAACATCGCGTAAAACAGGGAAAGACAACTGGAAAAGAGCACTGGCAATGGCATCTGGTCATAGAAGAAGAAGAACTGTGAATACAATTTTTATTTATTGTAATATAATATAGTTAACAATGTTATTTCTTACACGATTGAGATATTATTTCTATCTTAGTTGTGGTTATATCGAATAACAGCAAAAAGACCAGTCTTTTACCTACCTGGGTTATGGTACACTATGATGTGAGTGAGGGTCACCCCCTACCCCATTAGATAATTCACTTCCCACATCAACTTCAGAGGATCGTTTACTCCCTAGAATGTTTAATACAGCCTAAATTGTTTGAGGGTCACTCAAAGTATGTGGATGTGGCTTCATTTTTTGTGGAGAATGAGGGGCACTATTTCACTGTTTATTTCCAAAAAGATTTTGTTTAGCTGGGCCGCACTGCTGGACATAGAGCTTGTCTCATGATGCCTCCAATCTTCTACACATAGATTTATAATTCCAATCAACCAGTATTCTTCTTCTGTCCCAAGTCCCTGTTTTATTATCATCCTTGTACTTTTACACCAAGCTGCATCTTTGCGTATTTCTAACCTTTGTTGTTACTGTTGAATTACTGGTACTATGAAGAATTTGTGTTTAGACTAATGTTGATGAAGTCGATGATTTAGAAGTTCATGTTGCTTCACAACAAGACGAGATCGATGTATTACGGAGAAGATTGAAAGAAAAAACTGTTCAATTGGCAGAAATGAAAAATTCAGACTATTTGTAAGAAGCTTATCAAAATTTATATACCTCATAATAAATAGTATCTCTCCTAATTGTATGAACTGTAAGCAATATTAGGAGATCATTCACTGTTTTATGATGAGAATTGTGGGTTAGGAAAAATTTGTTATTCCATTAAATTGATTCAATATTCCTGATTGTAGTATTCTAGTAAGATGAGTTGTAGGCAATCCATGGTGCTCCCGAAGTATGCGAACCAAGATGGCGGACATTGGAACGTAACAGGTTAGGGTTAGGCGATAATTTTTTTCCAATTTTCCTTATTTTAGTCCTATTATCAGTTCGAAGACTAGCCAAGAGCCTCCCGTAGTATTTATACCTAAAATTATGGCCTAACCCTAACCTAGTACACATATTACATTCCGATGTCCGCCATCTTGGTTCGCATACTTCGGGAGCCCCCAATCCATTTCAAATTATTTTTTTTGCTTCTAACTTACAGTCAAGGGCGTATTCAGGAATTCTTAATTTTTTTTTCAATAGCCAGGTTAGACCGAAACAGCCAGCAGGTCTGTGGGTATTCGAGAGTCTTGGGGTCATAAAAGATGTTTCGAGATTCGAAAAAATGCTATGTGTGATGCAGAAAAATGCTTTTTTTTATATTTTAAAGGGAGAGGGGTTCCGACCCTTGACCCCCCTGCTTACACTCTATGCAAATATGTTGACCCAGTTGACAGTATACTGTCTTAGCCAATTCTTTCCATTAGTAAACTTAAATGAATATGTAATTGTATTATTTTGCAGTCCTGTGAGAGATAATGGAAAATTTTTGTCAGAACATACATTCTCACCAATCATTGAAAGAAGAGGAAGAGATAAGGAGGTACGGTATACTATTCTAAGTAAATATTATACTCAAAGTGCTAGATAAACTTATGTCTGATGCAAGTTTGTTTGATTTTTTATAACCTTCTCTGTTTGTGGTAACTCAATATGTAGTACACTTTCAAGAGGCTCCTCTGTATATTTTTGGTTATTTATTAATAGTTTGTAGTTGTTGAATTTATAAAACAGATACTTTAGTTCTTGAATTCTATAAATAAATTTTTCAAATATAAATTATGTTAAGTTTTGTCCTAATAACTGTGTCTAATTTAGCTTATTTTAGGTACAAGGCTTGCAAAAAATTTGAATAAGTAGTTTTTCTTTAGACTGATATAATAGCCTGTCACTATGTTGCCATGGTGTTACTGATTATAACATTTTTTTCACAACTTGTGGTATAAGTTACCATGCATCAGCATGTATTTCGCTGTTCGTTATTTGTTATAATTTTTCAGTTGCCGGGTCAAAGGTCTGCTCGTTCTTTATCACCGAATGGTCGTCAAATGTCTTTTGTAAATCGACGTTTGCAAGCAACAGAAGAAAAACTAGATTCAACAAAACGATTACTGGATTTGAAAGTATTACATCCAACTTTTTATTCATTGTATAACATATATACTTGCGCCATCACCTAATAAAGCATGTTTATTCCATGGATCATCTCAACCGGGTTGTCCGCGGCGTCCTAGGGTTTCATCAGTACATTCCAAGGGTTCAGCGAGTTTCATTTCAAATCCGAGAGTCTATCTATCTATCTTTTATGGCTTGTGGCCCAGTTCCGGAGTCTTTGAGCACTCATGCCCCCCTGTTTATCATTCCAGTGGTATTATTAGTAGTAGATTTAAATTCCTATTATTTTCAAACAATTCATGCTCAATAAAGTGAAAACAGAGTTTGGGGGCCACAGGGCCCTGGTTGGGAACCGCTGATATATTGTGACTTAAATTATTTCTCTATTATGAGCTAACATCAAATATCTATCAATGAATTTTTGACATGGTTCACTTCGCACCTTTGTTGATGGAATAAAAGCAAACAAGCATGATTAATATCTTTCAAACTACTGATTGAAATAATTGGTATAATATAAACTATAATGTTTTATTTTTCATATCGTAGAAAGATGAATTAAAACAATTACAGAAAGCCCATGACAAGCGTTTGGGAAGATTAAAAGAAGTTCAAGCCCATTACAGGTTTGTATTGCAGATTGTAGTAATTTTAATGCAGCTTGTCAATTTTTTATTTCAAAACTACGGAAGATTGTTTTTTCAAGTGAAAATTTATGTTTTGTGATTCATTTACCTTCCTTTCTTTGCCCTCTTAGTATTTTGCGTAGGTGTAGTTCTTAAAATTTAAAAAAATTTGGTTTGAAAATTAATTCAACTATTCAAGGTACTAATCAAAAGCAATATGAATTGACGAGATATTTTGTTTCCTTTAGGGAGCTGAAAGAAACTCTTTCTGAAAAAGATGTCCTTTCTCCAAGAAAGAGCAAATCTAAAAAGAAAACGAAACGTCCTAATATTATGGACATGAGACAGGAAGATTGTGATGCTGTTTGGAATGAACTTGCTTACTATAAAAGAGAAAACAGGAATCTAATACACGAAAAGTAGGATTCACTTTTTTTTTTAGTTTTTTATTGACTTTGAATATATATATTCTAGTTATAGCCTGTCATTCTGACTTTGTGGATTCAGTTCTTTAGTTTTTGTTTTTTTGATCAGGGGATCAACCTAGTTTTGACTTTTGTAAGCATTTAAACAGCAAGTTAGAGGTATTGTTTTTGAATAGGTTGATCTTTATGTCTTTTATGTCATATTATCATGATGGTCCTTGATTCAACAACTGCTGTTGTATCAATGGTAAAATTGCTACACACAATCAATGATTTGCTGTTCAATGAACAATTCTAGTCTTGGCCTTTAGTCTCTGAATATGACTGTCATAGGGCTGGGGATCTGGTTCGAAATCACAATGGGCTCCGGACCCATAGTGTATTCAAACTGTGGCTCGGGAACTTCATTTATTTGCGACAGAGCTGCGCTCCAACTTGGGCTCCATACCTATTCACGATTTTTCAGTGTTACCACTACCTTTAAACCATCAGCCTAAATGCAGTTTTGTGACAGCAAACTCAAAACTATGGTATAAGGGTATCAAAATTGAACTTTTAAAAAAAAAAAATATAAATCTAACTAAAAATGTGATTTATTTGTATGAAGTATGAATTACCAAATTATAAATGTGCATAAACAATAAGATGGTTCGGAGCTTGAGCCACTAAAATTTCTGGTAGCTCCTACTCCAGCTCCTCCCAAATGTCACAGTTCTTTAATTTAAACCCCTCTTGTGAAAAGGTTTGACTCAACCAAATTTTATTTTTAATACTTTTGCTTCCAACGATTACAGACTTTCATTAGAAGAAGACTTGGATAATTTGAGAGTGCAAGCAGCAATGGATAAAGCAACAGTTCAAGAATTGAATATGTGTTTAAAACAAGAAAAAGATGACCTCATGACAAAACTGAGAAATAATAGTATGTGAACATGATATTTTTGAAAAGTAGGAAAATAAAAATAATGTAGAAAATTCTGATTCATGTCGTCATATAATCTTCTCAATTGTAATGAATTCTTTTGTCAGATCATAAGCTTCTTGCATACAATTTTTTACCAAAATGCCATGAATCACTGTGTATAGTAGTACTTCTCCACTTTTTACTGACTGCGTAGTGCGTACCACTTTTGTGTTTTTACTTTGGCGGCTTACCACCGACATAACCCCTGTGGAGGTGGGGAACAGTGGTACAATAAACGCGCTATGGGAGTATTTATTGTGACATCTAATTTTAGACCTTCGTGCAAATTTTGGCATATTAATTATAGATGCAGTAACAACATATTAATTGCGTGCAAAATGACGAGAGGATTTGCGTCATCTACCGTTAGAGCTGAAAGACTCTGGCGAACACATTTTGATCGCCTTTAGCCGCTATCACGAACTGCCTAACCTAGTCTCCAAATTAATTAATAATAAAACTTAGGATTATGCCGATCAGCCAACATATACATCAGGTAGCAATAGTAACAACAGTATGATGTATAAAAGCGCTTTCAGGGCATCTTGGCCCTTCGTTGTCGATTTCTGGAGAGGCATTGTGGACGTTACATGTTCTCTGGGTTGGGATTCATTTTAGGTAGGCAGGAGCGGGTGAGGGCAACTCTATATACCCGTTCAGCGAATTTATTCAGTATGAAAAATGAAGGGAAAGCGTTGCCGCCATATTTTAGCTAACGCAAAAGTTAATTGTTGCAATAACTGAAACAGCAGTAACGAATATATTACAGACCAAATAAGAAGACAAATCATATTTTATAGTGTTTTTTAATGAGATGGATGAGCTTGGTGTTCTTCAGCGAGTTTTATTTATTATTTGGTGACATTTTCGTCAGACACAATCCAAAGTCACCCCGTTTACCGATGAAAATACGATTTCGTTGGTTTGATAGCAATAGTAGCACGGCTGAAAACTCTTTTTCACCATATAAGAGGTCGGAAATAAAAGAATCCAGGGTTCTACCTCCTTAAAAACCGCCGTGTACCTGCCTTATTGCATTTAACTACCCAAATTCACCTCATTTCACATTCATCCCTACATACATCTCATTCATCCCTACAGCCTGATGACCTGCACCAAAATACATGATATATAACGGTCCTCGGTAAAATTCACCCTCGATTCCTCATCCTACCATGGCCTCCAAGGCCGATCCCCAGTTCATAGACTTAATCAGCCATTTGTTTTAGATTCGTGGACTCGGATGTGGAAAAAGCCGTGACTGACTATCGGCTACGACCCAGGCCTCGGCAAATTTTATGTCGCTCTCGGGACAAAATTGAGGGTTGCTAGTCTTTTGAGGGTCGCATATATTTTTTGAAAGTTAAAAACGGAACAGCGCGCGAAAACTGCGACAATTCATGAACTCAGTCGTCCTATTAAAAAATTATTACAATGACATTTGATGTGACACTGTCTTGTTGACGCCAAGGAACAGTTTCTAAATGGGCATCACTAATCCTAGTTCTTTGCTTGTTCTTTGTAATGTTCTTTTTCGAAAACAATTGTTCGCACAAATATGTACTTCCAAACATCGAATTGAATATTTTCTCATGATTTGTGAAATTTTGATAAAGATTTTCCTCAAGAAGATCTATTCTTACAAACATCAATTAAGCAGTGATGAATCTCCCGAATACAATATGAATATTATTTCCTTATTGCATTGCAATATATTTGAATATTTACTGCGATATTGAACCCCTGCACTCAGCATCAACTTTTTCTGCGTATTGCCATTTGTCTAATTATAATTAAATTGTAGGCTCATTAAACGAATAGCAGCTGTTCACTAAATTGTTGGGACATAATATAATTTAGTCTAAACGTGTCTCACGATAATTTCTGTTATTTAAAAACTGTAATTTGCTCCTCGTGCGCATATTATAAATAAAATTAATTCATCGTCAAAACGCCGTTTTGTCTGTATATTGGATGTTTTCCCAGGCATAGACTTCCTTGTTTGCTTTGTGACATTGGCCAATCAGCAAGATGCAAAAATAAACGTAACAATGCCCCCTTTCGCATCCACTCAGACGCTTTTCTCGCTCAGACAGATTTTCAGGCGTTTTGAATTATATTCGTTTGTTTTTAGTTGTGTTTTGGAAATTTAAATTCAAATCACACAATTTAATGATCACTTTGTCTTCCTATGAGTTTCAGTTTGATTGCAGTAATCAAAATTTAGAGAAGTAATAGCTGTGATAGACTAGGCTAAAATACTTTACCGGTAATTTTCAAAAAACAGATTGTTGAATGGTATGAATTAAAATGATAGTTTGAAATACCCCATTTACAGGCAACAACTCGCGAAACCACTCTTAAAATAAGCACCGAAAATTTTAAAATGGAAAGTATAGAAAGAATTTCCAGGGTCAAAGGTCGAGGAAAGGTCCATTTAGTGAAGCGTCCCGGGCCAGATTATTTTTCTATTTTGTTGACCACTGGGATACGCAAACTACCGTGCCTTATGGCGGAGACGAGTCCAGCAATCTTTTCGCGTGTGATAATCGCCCACGTGATTCAAACCTACGAAAGCACGCAGAGTACAGTAATCAAGTGCACGATGCGGCGAACAAAACCAGGTTTCACGAAATCGCCCCCTTCGACTTTTTCGCCCCCCTCTGTATCGTTTTCGCCCACTGGGGGGCGATATCGCCCACTTTGGGAATCACTGGTGTAGACCATGATGAAAAATTTAAATGAACCCTTTTATTATATTTGTAAAATGTCGAATGTTCAATCAATAATTGGCCTATAAGCCTGGGTTGGGGTTCCCGGGGCAGGAAATTTTTGCACAAAAACATTTTGCAATATCTGCCAAGATTTGTTGTACCCACAAATTAGAGGTCGGGGTACTTGACCTGCTTCTGCATTACTAGTAGACAAGACTGGTAACTCAATAGGATGTCATGGTTTGCCTCGCAATTTAGCAGCCGTATGAAAATCCTTAGAAAATATCCAAAGTATACTTAGTTCAGTTCCTTGGAAATTCTTTTTGTTTGGGATGTAGTTGCTTGTTATGATTTCCAGCATTTAACAATGAAAATTTTCCTATTTCAGTGAATGGAAATAGATTAAGTAGCACACCTAAGAAAAGAGAAACATCTCCTGATAAAGCAGGTTCCCCTGTTTCATTCTTAAACACAACTCTTCGTCATATCGTAAAAAATCTTGAAAGAAAATTAGAAAATGCAACAGAAGATACAAGACTATTGAAAAAAGAAAAAAGCCAGCTTCTCAAGGACATAAGGTATGCTGGTAGCATGTACCATGCTTCACAAAATGACACCATTGAATATGGGTTACTGTTTTCATTAGCCATAATTTCGTTTGTAGCGATCGGTGTCTTTTTGCTTGTTTAAATTCAAATAATACAATTACATATATATAAAAATTTTGTTTTAAGATTAAAATTGTTAAATACAGACAATAATCTCTTTCAACAATCTTTCATCAGAACACCTTTTCTATTGAGTTTGTATCTTGTTTTGTCTGAAGAAGTTAGACTATGATCTAATGAAAGCTCACAAATATACTTGCTATTTTGTGGAGAAAGATCTAATTTATCACTTTATTAATACTATCTCGTTCAAGCATCCTCGTGGCAATCTTTACAGACGAATCCAAATTAGAAAGAAAAAATACAATATCCTAGTACTCCCTGTATTAAAATTGTTGTTGTTGGACTTTCACAAAAACCCATTCTTATAAAGCTACTCATTTCTTACTCATGAGTTAGGTGGTAGGCAAGAGGAGATCACTCACCCAACAACAATTGACCCGAAATTTCATTGCGAGTCTTTGAAAAATATGACTGAAAATACTCATCTCTGACTCTGTACCAGTAAACTTCTGCCAGGCAGCCACATGTTGTTTTTGTGTTTTGAGTTTTAAACATGCTTAACTTTGACTATCAGGGTGATTAAAGAAGAAAATAAATCACTGAAGCGTGACGTCACAGACAGTCGACAATCGAGTGCAAATCTACGCAGAGATATTGTTGAACTTCGGCATAAAGTTGAATTAGCAGAAGACAAAAAACTTGAAGCAGAATTTGAAGCAAAGAATAAACTAAAGGAAGCTGCAAATGAAAGAGCAAGTAATATAGAAAGCAGAGAAGAAATAAATGCACTCAGGTAGGTCTTTTCTGTGTGTGTCGTTTGTCTCCAAGAGTTGATGTCTGAGTACCGTATTTTACAGACCATAAGGTGCACTTTCAAACCCTCCTTTTACAAAAATCGATTATACACCATAAAAGCTGGTGCACCTAATGTACAGATCAGTTAGTGCTTTTTGATTTATTGCCTACACTCAAAATCAGTACCGGTTGTGCTTTGAAAATCATTGCATCTTAAAGTTCAATACGTCCTATATATGAATAAAAAGTCAATCGAACTGATTTATTGAAGGAGCAGTGCGCCTTTTGGTTGGCTTATTATAATTTAAACCCTTTTTGGAATATTTAGAAACTTTTTTGTACACGTTTCGCTTTTTAAAAATTTATATTTTTCTGAAGGGCCGAGAATAATGATCTGCGGGCAGAATTGACTGATCTGAAAGCTGAATTGAGAGAAATAACGAATTCTCTCGAAGCTGCTGAAGTGGAAGCAACTTCAAGAACACAGACTAGTGCTCGTAACACAATACCTTCACTTTCAGCAAGAACATCATCTACCAAATTGAGCACAGATTCTGCTAGAAAGGTAACAATATATGAAGAAAAAAATCAACAACATATCATATTTTTATTTTTTTTTATCTATATACCAGTCTGTAACAAACTGTAGCTTGAATCATTGGTTTACTTTGTTTAAGAGAACTATGGTCAAATATATGGACGGGATGGTCGAATATCGGTATGGTAGAACTTGAGAGTGATGGTGGGGTGCATCGTGCTAAGCATTAGGAATGCGCTTGCCACCGGCTCACTACACCTATGATTACCATGTGTGGGTAGAGTCTGGGTCACGCTCGTCACCGCACTTCTGTTTACCGTGCATGACTTTGAATCTTGTGGTGGTCTGGCTGATAATTATGTGCAAGAGGAATGCTGGACTCCTCACATTTGAGTACGCACTACTCGTTGGTTACGGCTTTTGTCGGTTATATCTCAGTCCATGCCACTGAAAACAAATAACTGGTCAACTAATCCCATACCTGACATGAACTGGTAACAGGACAAGAGGCTTTGGTGTGTTATATGATTAAGCTTTTCTCCTCTGAGATAAATATATAAATCCTATCCACTGAGTTTGCTGGAACAATGGGTTGATAAACATTACGAAGGTGGTTGAACAATATGTAATAAAAAGTGTTCCTATTCAATTAAAATAAAACATAAACATTTTTGGTGAAATAACGGGACCCATAGGACTAAAATAGCTCTCTAGTGACTTTTTTCATCTTCAAGTAATGAAAATTTGACACCGATTGTTCCATTAGATGTGAAGAAAAGTGTTTTTTTCCCAACAACACAAAAGTTCAGTAAATCTACCCATAGGTTGTGTTCTATTAGGATTACTCTCTCTTTGTATATGATTATTCATATCTTTCTTGTTAATACCAAATAGTTAGTTCTTTATACTGTATCGGTGGCCAACACGCCAATCACCGCAGTTGGAGTGGAACTTGCTAAAATTGCTAATAATTTGAGGTACATGCCCAAAGGAAGATATTCTCTGAAGTGTAATATATTTTATTCATAACTGCAGCAGTGACATTAGAATGTCCATTTCAGTTTCTATTTTTTTTATTAATTCTGAGATTTTAAGGAGAATTCTAAGGATTTTTGGTAGTCATTTATTTTTGTGCGTGGCTTCATTGTCGATGAGTCAATAGCAAGATGTTATGAAGATTTTAGTTGATCTCAGTCCACGATAGTTCGGCCACCCCTGTCCCCTGTTATAGGTAATCTATTTGTGGGCCATATCTTAGAACTTGCTAATTTGTGAGCAATTAGAAATTAAATTTAAAATATATTTGATATACCTATTATTTTTTATTAGCCAGTGTTTTGCAGTAGTTTATTTTTATTTATTCCAATAAAGAATTATTAATATTTTTTTCGTTTTCAGCATCAGAAATTTTTGAATAATTCAATCAGAAACATGAGAGAAGCATTCGGCAAAGAATCAACTGTTGACTCTGAAAATGATTCTGATTCAGCTAGTCTCGGTGAAAGAATTGTGAGAGCTGCACGATCTGTACCTGGATTAACAGGTTGGAATCTCTTTCGACTTCAGTGTATAAAAAAGTGATAACTACTCATAAGAAAAATAATGTACCAACAGTTCATAAATTGAGTTTATAAATAACTAGAATTAGGATATGATTTTCATATTTATTCTTGGGAAGAGGAAAGCCAATAAAACTGCTTTTAAAATCATATGGCTATCAAAATTTCGGTATTTTCATAAAATTTGTTACTATGGAATGTCTACTTCAAAAAAAGTAATGTCAATTTAATCATATTTACTGGGGGATTTCAATAAAAAAAATGACAGAGACTCAAAAATAAAAAATATATGTTTTTCTCATTGTCTTGAAAAATCTTTTTCAGGTTCTATCTTTTTGACTTGAAGCTCCTGATATTCGAATCTCCCTATTAGATGTAATACAATGCAAATTTGCTGCTCCTGCTCGTTGGAGCAACACAGAATGTACAATTTTTGCATTGTTGAAATTTTCGTACATTTTTTTAAATCTTCACATTTTTTATTTTCTCTCAGATTCACAAGCATCTGACGATGATGATGATGATACGTTAACTAAAGATGATGTTCCTGGTTAGTAAATATTATTCTTGTATAAAAATTACTTCCAAAAATATTTCATTCAGGAGATTTTTTTTAAATATAGCAAATCAAAATTGGTATTATTCCCTCATTGAATTCCATATTAGGTCAAATTGAAAAAAAATTGGTTTCAGAGTTGATTCTAGCTTGACACATGTGCAGATTACAAGTACTTTGCAAAAAAATATAAAATTAACTCTTGTCAAATTTTGGTACTTTTTTCTCTTCTTAGAAATTTATAATCTTATAATTCGATAGAAATTTTACGTTATCTATATTCTACGACATCCAGCGAGGAATTATAAGGAACAGCTAAAGTTATTGAGCATTGCCAAGTCTGCAAGTATGGCACCTCACCAGCCCGCTGGCATCCAGCAGGGGTGTGCAACCTGCGGCCTGTGGAGAATTTCCAATTTTGAATGGTGTGGCCCGGGGAATGAGTTTTTATTTTAATCTGTTACAAGGTAGTAATTCCAATCCCTTTGAATTACAAAGCCTACACTTGAGTCCAATTTATTATCTATGCCTATGATGTTTCAATGCCCTACAACTAGCTTTTGCAAAGTGAACAAAGCATATCCTAGGACCAATGAGCAAAATTTATTATATTGTGCGTGTAACTACTGGAAAGCCTTTGTTAAATGAAGGGAAGCCCCACGGTTTCACCCACATATCTGTATCTGGCCCTCCTGTATTAAAGGTTGCATACCCCTGGTATAAGCGATGACGTCTTGATTCTTCAGTGCTTTTCCAGAGTGTCTTCAATCGGATTTCAACCCACTTTTAGGACATGTTTAGAGAGTAAGAGTTTAATTAATATTTAATTTTAAAATCAATTTTCTTTCAGATTTAAGACCAGTCTCTTCTAAGCTTCCAAAACGAACCAAGTCATCTTCTAAATATGGAGGGAATGATCTCACTTCACTCAGACAAAGATTATCCTCAATGCAGAGACAATGTTCTACTTTGATTACAGAAAGACAGAATGCTTTAAAAGAGGTAGTTTCTACTAGGTCTATGAATAGCATAGTAGTGTTAATGACTATATTCAGTGCTCATCTCTTGTATAAGAGAGTTAATGATGAGACGATCATCATTCTTTGATACAAGAAAATGCTGTGTTTTATAATATCAACTTTGAAATTTTTTGTCAGTCATCTTGCTTATGCATACACATATACAGTATGATAGTGATTCTTTTCATACCCATAATATTTGAAAAGTTCAAAAACATTCCATTCTCATTGTCCTTATATATTTGCTTGTTTTAATGAAAAAAGAAGACTAAAATCTGTCTTTCAGTTAGTTAGTGGTTGATAAATCGTGTTTTTTGTTATATACTGTCACATTCATATGAATACGTAATCTCTTTCCTCGAAATAGTAAGTTTATTTATGAGTTTTCGTTAGATCATAGTCTAACTTCTTCCGGTAATACAAGATGTAGGATCTCGGAAATCTGCGTCTTTTTAATGTTTTCCACAACAGTAGCCTATATGAAGCAATATCCTTTGGCATTTCATTATCAGCTGGATTCAAGGCTGAGAAACATTCATTCTGCATTTCCTAAGGCTGTTTACAACAAATAATGCTAACGTGCTGATTGAGTTCTGAAAAATACTATTTCATGAAATCCTTCTCAATTTCCAGGTCAGTGATGAGAAAGACAAGAATACACTTCTGGAATCTGAGATTCAAGGTGTTCAAAATAGACTGAAATCTGCAAAAGCAGTGAGTTTTCTTTCTTTCGTATATCTCTTCTCGCCAGCTCGTAAAAAACATCAGTATATTATTGTAGTAGTCTAATCCAAATACGTCAAAGCAACCCTTACTGCGGCATCAAATATTAGTTTGAATTTAAATTCATGCAGCAGTTGAAGTAGTTTGCACAATGTACACAACTTTTGAGATAAAAGTGTTTAAGTATAATTCACTAAAGCTCATGAAAATATGAACTAATTAAGTATGTCCACTGCTGTTTTTCATTTCGTATCTTTGTGTGTCCACTGTCCAGTTGCACCTTACAGACTAAAACACTGGGTTTATAACTATACTCTACAATTACATATCACATGCATTTTAAGATAGGATAGGACTTTGTTTTTTGGGGGGGGAAAGGAATGCAGATAAGAAGAATAATCATGGCACCGTGTACGATTACTAGTCCATTTCTAGGATTAGTCAACCAGTTACAAGCAAGCGGTTGCATGAACCACCCTACGACGTCAAGGAGTGGAATTGCTTATTTTTGTGAAAGCACGTCTTTTGATTGTAAAAATTTATTTTGTTGCAGTCAATCCAAAAGTTACATAGAGAAGTAGAAGTAATATCAAGAGAAAAAGAAGAACTTCAACGTAACTTGGAATCTGTTAAAAATTCTATGCCTGAACCTCAGAAACATTCAGATACTGACTATAGACTGTTGGAAAATAAACTGAGGGTATTTCCATATTTTTCATTATTTTGGAGTAATATGAACAATACTGAGAGGAATCTAACAAATTAAGTCACTCCAATACAATGGTTATCAAATTTTTGGAACAATTTTCACGTAACAGTTTTCTTACAATTTTTCTGATGACCTGTAGTCCACAAAAGAATTGAAATTATTTGGCAACATTTTATATTTAGCATTCATTAATTGCATGTCATTGTACAGTTCAATTGGTGCAATTTCTTAGCTTCCAGCAGTTCGTCCATTTTGAGTTCAGTTTAGGACAGTGCTACTCTCATGCTATTTCTTATTACCTTTTATTTCTGAAATTTGTTTAAGTAGCGAGTATCATAGACATGTACATTGGGTCCCTTTGAAAACCGATTGTCTAATAGTATTCAGCATTTAAATGGTCCATATTCTTTTGTTGATTTGAATTTTTCTCATCAATTCTTATCGCTACTTATTATAAGCAGATTGGTCTATTTTTTTTTGGAATTTCTCTGGCCATTTGTTTAAACTTGGGATTTCCAAATAAGGATTCGAGCTTGCCCCTGGATTTATTTGGTGAATATTAAAGGGACTCATTTGGTGGTATAGCGCATTCTCTCAGACTGTATAGTTCAAATTTGTTTTGCACAGATGGCTAATGCTGATGCTCATCACTATATGGATCAAATGAAAAAATTGCAAAAGGAAAATGAAGAAAAAATAGAAACAGTTACTGGTATGAAAGAAAAACTTACCAGGTAATAGAGTTCAGCAACTCATTTTTTACCACTTTGTCAGTCTCACAAATCTGCAAGTTTTTATATTTTCCTTCTGTCCGTTAGATATGTCCGTGGTTCTCTAATTTTTTCAACTTACGATGCACTACGAAAAATATTTCATAAAATTGCAGCATACTTGCAAGTGTTCAAATATTTGTTACTTTGCATTTGTGATGTGTGTTATAACAAATGGGAAGTCCGTTTAATTGGATATTGCTGACTTTATACAAAAGGTAATGTCAAATCAAACGAATTATTGAATAAAATCACACCGACAAAGAACAAATAGACATTCATTCCACATTTCATAATTCTATTTCTATCAACAAAGGCTTGAACGTGACATTACAATGAAACGACAACTTATAGAAGAACAAAGAGCAAAAATAAAAGCAGCAGAACAGAGTAACCAGACTGAGCAAGAGACTATGGTAGATTTTTATTGTAAATAATTTTTTTATATAGTCTACCGAAATTAAACACTGGCTTTTTTGATTGTTTCAGTCTGAACTAGAAGCACAAATAAGACAATTATCAGAAGAACTTTCCCATAAGAAGAATTACATTGATTCATTGAAAAAACAAGTCCAAGCTGTCGGAAGAGACAAAGCAAGATATGAACAATCTTATAATGAAACTAAATCAGAGTTAGAAAAAAGGGTGAGTCGCGGGTAGTGGTTGCTTGACATTGGGTTCTTTGAATCAGAAGATTTTATAGCTACTAGTTGACATGATAATGACTTTCTTCTGCAGTAGCAGTTTAACAGATTTGTATTTTTAAAATGCTAGTAATTTTAGGTCAGTAACTGTTGCAATGTACAATATTTATTGGCATTATGTCAGGGGATTGAGTACCATTTCTTAATTACAAAACGACACACAGAAATTGTTGATTTTAAACCGTGCCACTGAGTATGATACATAAGTAACTAAATAATATGTGGAGCAGGCTTTCGGAGTTGGGGAAATTTACAATCGACTACAAGTTCCACTTAATATAAATTTTGATAACTTCGGCGAATACGTTGATTACGGTAATTGGCGTTAATTACTTACTTCTTAGTGAGGAGTCCATAGCATTCAGGAAAAGTGTCGATAGCACTGAAAAGGTTCGGAACCACTGTTTCGAAACGATAGGACTTTGTGAACACAAATGTATATTTTCTTATTTTATATATTTTTTCAGCGTGAGCAAGTATCGGTTGAACAAGCTCGAAAGCTTGAGGCTGAAAATCTTGCGAGTCAATTAGAAAATACTGTTGAACAACAACTAAATACTCTTGCTTCAAAAAGTGAACAAGCGTTAGAAAAGATGCAAACGCAGCTTTCAATCAGCCAGGAAAAGAATAGAGAATATTCAACTTGTATACAGGTATGCTTATTTTACGTTTTTGCACGTTTTGGTGGTTTTTCACTGTTTTTGTTAACTTTTAACTTCTATTTTTTCCCAGTTATTTTGTTGTGAAAGACAATTATTCAATATCGTATGATGATCTATTTTGGACTCAGTTCAAATATCATGAATACTTGACTTAATTCAAATCAGTAGACATTAAGTATTTTCAGAATCGAAGATCATTTTTAACAATCTAATCTAAATCACAAAGACTTTCAAATCATGTCCTGATCTCAATTCTGATATTTACAATTTCAATATGTTTAAATCTGTTGTATTCATTTCTACCTAAAATAACTCTTGATGATTACCCCATTATATACATTCCAGATCTTATCAAGTCAATTATTGGATCATCTGAGTCATATAAGAAACACAATATATAACCAGAAACAGACTGCAAGACAGGAAGCACAAATTATGAGGTAACATTTTTTTAATACATGTTTCAAATCAGACAAAACTCTGGGCTCTGTAGAAGCCTTCCTAGATCAGTGAGGAACTACTTTTTGAGAGATCACAATCTTTACGGTTCAGCGTTGTCTACCCAATTTAATACATCCGGGGTTTGAATGGTGGGCATGGCTGCGATGCCTCCATAGTTTGTCACTCTAACCCAGGGGTGGGCAAGGTTTTACGACCAGGGGCCAAAAATTTTACCCCTCTAGACTGGCGGGACATATAAGCGTGAAATAAAAAATAACATTTTATGAACAGAATTTCATTTGCAGTGTTACAAAAGCAAAAGTGGAAAACAATGAGCCTCGTGCCTAAACTAAATTTAATCGCAATCTCGTCAAATTCCTTGAGGTATTTTTCAGCTAAAAACATTAAAATTTGGCTTTAGTTTGGTTGTGACAGCATCAGGCGGGCCAGATCGAATTACCCAACAGACCGGATTTGGCCCGCGGGCCGTAGTTTGTCCATGTCTGCCCAACCACTAGGTTCGTCACGCAAGTCCATGCATCTGAAAACAAATAACCAAAATGGACTGGTAACCGGAAGAGATGCCGTGGTTCGCCATATGATTAGGTTGTCTAATTGACTTTCCTCTCCCCCGAGATAAATATGTAAATCCAATCCTATCTTAGGCCTTCGCGAATATATATCATTTATAATATTGGAAATATTTATTGATTCGATTGGCATTGTCCAATTGAATTAAACTAAAGTACGGTATGTTAAAAGTTGATTAAAACATTGAATTTCTGAATTGTGTTCGGTTATAGTGATTGGCAGTTCACTTATTGTGTAGCTGTCTTGATATTAAATGTGGTATTTGGCATTTCGATAGCCTACCAATAAAGATGCCTGCAGATGGTGATTGAGACCATATACCTATTCCTAATGGCTTCGCAGGCTTTCTCTTTTAATATTCAAATGTATATCCTGTTTCGGTTTGACAAGAATGTCAGATCAGTATGTCAATCGTTCAATCACGAAGAAACATTTAGGAACGCTGTTGTATTTGATACTTTTATCTTAAATTTGAAAATGACACTATTTGAAACAGTTATGTGGTTTATGATATGCAAAATAAAACCTATTATCCTATTACCTTGGAATTGATATGTCAATTTAACGACGTTTATTGTTGATACAGCTTATCGTATTACCTTGTTATCATAGAAGTCTATGTTACAATATTTATTATCTGATATTACAGGGAATCTGATCCTTCTATGTCTCGTGCACAGTCAATTGCATGTTCCATATTAAATATGTCAAAAGCAGATTTCGAAGAATTGATGACACCAGTCGATTCTAAGAAAAGAGACGAAGAAGAACAAAACAAATCTGATGAAAAGAGATTAGATAGAGATTGGAAAATGAAAGTAGAGGAAATAGCTGCTGAAACGGTATAGTATATGCATTTTTTGCATACCGAAAGTCTGAAATTTAATATCTCAAAATTTCAAGGTGTGACTTGCTCACCCTATGTATGGTTAAGCTGTCTCGTATATCTATATGTGACAACATACATTCCTTAGTTTTCTACTTTTCTCCTAATTACCGTATCTTCAACTTATGTGTATTAATAAGGGAATTTGCCTTTTAGCGAAAAAAAATATAATAACTCCCTACCTAACATTGGTGCTAGTTCAGAGCCTTGTATAGAGAGGAGGGCATATACAGCATATAGAGAAGCCTTCATCAACAGTTCATTTTCAGTTGACATTGAAGTTTATTGCAAAGGAAAGATTTCAACATCAATACCCTTACTAGTTCTCAACTAGTTTTCATATTTACTTCGTTTGACAATATTTCTAAAGTATCTGATTTATTATTGGATACGTTTAGTGGCCATAACGATCGTTTCAAAATTTTGTTGTTATTGTTATTTTCTTTCGTCATTATCATTAAAAAATCGCTTTTCTCTTCGAATACTGGACCAATTGCTTTGAAATTTTCAGTGGTTGAAGATAAAATTTTTCTCCAGAAGGCTATTACTTTTTTTTTTTGCTATGACGTCATCAAAATTATTGCCATTGGGTGGCGCTACGTGTCCATATATTTGAGCATAGCTATCTTGTTCTTAACATTGAGCAACATTGTCAAACTTAATTCTTCTTTGCTCTATTTTAGCCACCATTTGCGAAGTCGCTCAATCGTTTGCTGTGGGATAAAATACAAGATGCTATTCATATGGTGGAAGAAAAATGTCGTTTGCAGTATGAAATTGCTGCGGAAAAGACTTGATGTTTTACCATTTAAACCTTAATTTTTTTTATTTTCATATATCCAAAGATATTGTTTATTATTATTATTACCTTTTGTTCAGGTAGGGGTTTAGAATTAAATTATATTTAATAATACTGGTTAGATTTTGATATTTTAATTCATAGGTGTGGCCTTAGTAAAGTAGTTTTTCATAATAATATACATCTGCCTCGTATGTTTTATTACCATCATAATAGAAGTTGAAATTAGCGTTTTAGATTTCATCAAATCCTTTTCAACATTTAGTTCAATCCTGTATATTATAAATTAATGAAAATTATTTTTTTTTGTTCAGTAATTTGCACGCGATCTATTCGGTTTCTATGGCAAAATTATATTTTTGGTGGTGTGATCTTTTGTTAAATGTTGCAAAAGTAGAACTCTGCATAGACTAAGAAAGGGTCATATACAGGGTATTTCATGTCAAATTCAGGTATTAAAATCATTGCGCAATGGAGTATGCTTGATTCCTATATAACTCTGAATTGTATACATCAATTCGATGTTTCTGCTCTTCTCTTCGTATTATCCCGACAACTTACTTGTATTATTACTTTCATCTTCGATTTTCTGAGACAAAAATCACCTATCGGACTGTGGTGCGTTTGAAACTTTACAATCTATTTTGCTGCACTAAAGATTGCTGCTCTCTGTTGAACTGTTGTGATATTTTCCGAATTATAGAAATACATGTATTTTCATGACGAAGTTGACGGTCTCTTTTTCGTTGGAACAGGAAGAACGTCGATGGGTAGGCTGGGGTCACCTTTAATAAAGACCTAAAGTTACCCTAGTCCAGGGGTGCACAACCTTTTTGCTATTGGCGGCCACATTGCATTTTTTTGTATTCAATACGGCCACATGGGGGTTGATGAGCCCGTCCGCGAATTTTTTTTAGCTTTCATGATGTCATAACTGCGTATTTGACCCATGCGAGGTGCAGTCTGCCCAATTATAAAGTATATAGGACTACTTTGAAGTATAATATTCGCATTTTGAACGGATTTTTCTTCTCGATGGACCTATTCTTGAGCGGATATATTGCAGCGAGTTGCATGATGGTTGCACAATTTTGAAGAAAGTCGGGGAGGGGGAGAAGGGCGGTCGCTCCCATTTTCTTGTCCCCAAAGTATAATAAAATGTCAAATATTTTAATTAATTTATTTTATAAAAGTTTGCAAAGCATCGTAGCAATTTAATGACTCCCTTGGTCTTGCATGTAGCCAGATAAACTTGCAAAGTCAGATAACTGACTGGATACGATCAGTCAGGCTTAGTTCAGACTCCAGATTGACGTCTAACACAGGGTTGCCATATTGGCTTTTTTAACGCCAAATTTGCCATTTTTGGCTTTTTTCAAACGCGTTTGGCGTCAGAATTTCCGTTTGGCTTCTTGGCTTTTTTCAAGTCTATTCTAGTGTCTATTATTAGAATCATATGAAATACAATATTTAGTGTGTAACAACTGAACAATACCCTATTACCTGTACTTAGCTACTTAACATTAGGATTTCCTGGAGCATCGATTTCCTTGTTTGTTACATCAACTCTTAAACATACCCAATAAGAAATGATTGCAGTTTCTGCAGCTGCTCAGACAGATGTTAAAGCAGGGTTGTAAACATTGCCTCGTTTTTATAGTTTTGCGTGTTATTTGTCTGTTTTACGTTCTGTTTCCGAAAAATAGTTGTATTAACTTAATTTTCATTATGCCTGATATGGTTTATGTGAGATTTAGTTTAATTCTGCAATTGCAGTAACGATGTGATTAACGACGCTAAAATTACTGAATTAGATATCAGTCGTCCACCTGTGAGCGGCAAGATGGGGTTAGATAATTTTTCAATAAAATTGATGGTTTATAAATTTTAAAAGTGAAAAAATTTTCAATAGTAAAGTAAGATAACGGGAGAATTTTTTAGGGTCACAAGTTTAAGTAGAAACATGTAGGTATATACATTCTGACAGACTGAAGCAGCACCCTGTATTGTATATATTGAATGGTAAAATAATGCTGTCCGCTTGTTATTCATTTTACTTTCTACAGTTCTATTGGAACTTTACTTTCTATTTGTGTGCCTCACTGAATGAACTGATGGCTCTACATCATCATCAGTACGTTGCCAATGGCTTAAAATCTGACAAATCATGGGGCTTTTGTACTTAGTAAAATTGTTGGCTTTTTCTGGCTTTTTTTATGTCTTGATTTGGCTTTTTTGATCGCTGGGGTCTGGCAACCCTGGTCTAACAATCTGATTCGGTATTCATTCTTTAGGTACGTCATTCTTGAAAACGTTGCTTCGCACGTGTAAGTGCTTCCAAAAAGAACGAGAGTTTTTCTTGCCAATTCTTGTAGCTGTGGATATTCAACTGCGCCTTTCCATGTGTCCAGCAGATTTTCCTCATTTTCAAACTTCTGCACAAGCTGTTCATCATTCTTTTTGCACCAGCATAGCCTCCAAATCCTATATTTCGAACTTTTTTTTGTTCATAGGATTTTGTATGTGGACGGCCGCATTATTTTGTCACGGCGGCCGCAGGTTGTGCACCGTTGCCCTAGTCATCTAGGGTCTAAGGCTCAAGCAAAAGGACTGGATTCCAGCTAGCAGTCAGAGGCACCTGACTTGCTATTTAAGGTCATTTTCAGTTTTGAAAATATCGAAAAAAAAGCGGCCGCATGCATGTTGCTTTGGTAACTCTAAATAGGCGGTATGGATGTCGAATTAAAAGTTGTCGATGCACGAATAAATAGATGTGTTTTTAAAATAGATAGAAAAAATTACAAACACCCTAAGCCTGGGCGCCTCGTCATGCAGTTTCGAACTATTTTGTTTTTAAATAAATTCGGCATACAATACAATTGGGGGATAAGCTTCCGTATTCACGTAATTTTTAAACTTGTTTATGACATCAATACATTTACCTGCATTTATGACGTCATAATGAATTATGGTTTAACGTCATTGTTAGACGGGCCCAATACGTGGCATAACCTAGTCGCAGATGTCCCCCATCGTCTAAATCCGGCCTTGCCTCCCGGAGTCCATCTATATCGCCGACCACAAAAAAATTGTATGCAAGATGTTTGATTGACTCCCAAAGCCATTTGGTTACCCGTGCATGCACCAACAATCCCGATCGTGTTGAGCCCGACCAAATAATCAATTCAGAGAATGTATTTTTGTTAGACACGAAATGGACTCGTTTTGCCAAGTTTGTTGAGAAGACTTTTCTGGCCCAGAAAAGATCGATTTAACATTCTTGATGTATATATATATAATTAAGGTTGTATTCACTAGGATTGGGATTTAGGGCATGGACTTGAGATTTTGCTTTCATGGATTTAAGATTGTCGCATAAACAGGAGATCAACACTGCTATCATTAAGGCGGATATTGATTTTATTTAAAAATTACCCATGACCCGTAAAGACGCAATCATCTTCAACTGATGTTGTCTAATAGTCGGTGTGCTTCAAAAAAGTTCTATTTTTTGGCTTTTTTTTTTCAAATTAAACAGCATTTTGCTGCGTCACGGGAGGAATTGCGGGGCCTACGGAAATCTCGACATGGAGGATTTTCACACCTATCACAGTATGCGAGCTCTACGTTTTGGGCGCCAGACTAGAAACAGTTGGTTGAAGACTTTGTCTAGGGTGCTACACTACATATTTACATAAAATAGAAATACCGATTGTGAATCCTAATGTTAACATGAGTTACGGAAGGCAGTTGGAGAAACGCACCGCCACAGGGTTACACACTGGCGTGGTATATGATGAATAATGGACCCTGTAATCGTGTAATGAATTCGGCTTTTCTCTGAATCCGACTTGCGGTATCGTATTTAAACTTTGGAAAAGAAAATTTATTTAGACTAGACGATCGAAATAGCTGCAGAGTAAACGAGTGCTAAAAGCAAAAATTTCCCTTTTGAAATCCCGGAATTATATTGAAATTAATTGCTAAAGACAATAATAAATAATAGGTTACTGAGCACGAATTTTGCGGTCCACAAGACAATGCGTTGTAACTCCTCAGATAGCGGCGCCCCGACGGGTATTCATTACTGCAAATTGAACACCTCCTCGTCAGTGCGATATATTGACGTTCGGGCATATTCTCCTTTGTCGTGATAAAGCCACGCGGTTATCCAGTAGGAAAGGCGGCCCTCTTCATCAGAATATTATAACCCGTTGTGCTATTTTATTTGCTTAATATATATAGCAAATATTTAAAATGTATTGAGCCTTATGTAAAGTTTACTCCTGCGCGGACCACGCCTAACGAACTTGTTGGCTTTGTTCTCAAAAATCATCCCCATCGAATTATGACAAACGTTTTTGTACAGTATTGTGCAATTCTTGCGTACGTGATACAGCTCCCGTTTGAAGTGGTCGATTCACTTTTCGTCTCCTATAAATTATAAATAAAATATTTTGATTTAATTAATGATTAAACAGAAAAAATGGGGTTAATTATCGTAAATCCAAATATCAGATCACCGTATTTACTCTAGGTCGCTTATCATCACCAAAAGTGGGCTGATTTATGGCGGTCACAAATATTTGGAAATTGTCTGAAGACTCGCTTAAGTGGACGGACAACCCACTGAATACTACAAGCAAAATTAGTTATACTTACTCTCATTCGACAGTTAGAATTTAGTCAACAATTTTGCGGAAGGCTATCGCAATTGAATTGATTTATTGTAGCAATAAATAGACGATGAGGGAGAAGCAATTTAGGCATTGACGGAAATACAAATTAACATTATTATGTTACATTAATTTTTTTGAATTGTTATATATTTTTCAAATACCAAATCTTTGTATCAGATGTCCCAATTTGCGCGTAAAAACTTTTTTCCACAATAAGTAAAAAAAAAATACAACATTTAATTTTTCCAACATTTGTAACTGCTGGTTAGAAATTGATAAGCCGGATCGCCATTCAAAATCTTGTGATCTATAACTCAAAATATACATGCATTGAGGCACAAATTATTCATAGATAATACACAATACTTTTATGAAAAATACATTTCCCTCAAGACCACGGCATTCAAAATGCATTTCGGGTTGATGATTGGAAGTGTATGAATATTATGAGTGTCTGAATAATACCAAATTTGAGATGTTTTTCGAAGCGGTCATCTAATTCTACACGAGTCAATGCCTTTCGTTGAGGAAACTAATTAACCTTATCAAGACCCTTCTGCACGAAGGAGAAACATACTGTTCGATTTTTATGACGCTTTGACCCTAATGAATATCATCACTCATTTCGCATTCATGCACGGGATTTTTGCATACTTACAAAATGGCTCCGCACAAATACATAGAGCATATAAATAGGCATTGGTAAAGTTATAGCGTTTTGATATGTTCAATACAGATTCTAAATTTGTAGTGGTCAAACTATTTAACAATTAAAAACACGAATCTATAAAAATATAATATAGCTACTATATGTTTTCCACTTTAACCTGTTCTTTTATAATCGGAAAGGTAAAATTAGAATATATGCTTGTATAATTAGTAATGCATATTTATATAGAAATTAATATATAAATACAGGCAAGTGTGAAATGCGATTAAAGGCCTTACTCTAATGTTCCTCTCATTTATAAAATCAAATAACATATAGCCTATATCCACGATTTTACATTGCTGCAATAAAAGTCTCACGCACTGGATCTTGAATGAT